AATTTATGTCAATCGACTAATCAGTCAGCTCTATTTGGACTAGTCAAAGTGCAAGGGGAGAAAAATCTGTTAAAGAGCAGCTGAAATGTCAGGTGACTAAAAAGCAGTTAAACTGTCATTCAAAGAAAAAGAGAATTAGGCCATGAGTCAAAAAAAAAAACTTTGTGGCAGGATGTGCCACCTCCCCAACAAAAGTCAAACTCCCCAGTGTGTGGTTGCATACACGCCTGACCCTCTTACTGCAGGTGCCTGAGCAGAGTGTGTGTGTGTATGTGTTATATTAAGCATTGTGTGCGAACAAACAGCACAGCCTGTGTTTGGGTTCTGCAGAAAGTAGGAAGTCAAGCTGTGGCGTGATGTTTTAATCTGATAAATAAATGAATGAATGAGTCAGCCGGTGTCAGACAGTGACAGAGCTAACGCTCCGTGATAACATCACTGCGGATCGGTCTCTCCTCAAGGACAGCCTCGTGTTGGAGAGGGACTGACAGTCGAGCTTGACACCTGAGACCTGTTGCTCGGTGCTGTGTGCATCTCATCAAACACCTCGGCAATCCTCCTCGGACACCTCCAATATCTGATTGCTCCTTCTTTACAGCCACTTGACCATGTCTAAACTAAACAGACAAAGATTGACAGTGTGGAGCTGCAGCAAAGTCCAGAAACCGTGGCTGAGTGACAACAAGAATCTCCTGTAATCTACCCAATTCAGATCCACAGGAATATACAGTACAGGCCAAAAGTTTGGACACACCTTCTCATTCAATGCGTTTTCTTTATTTTCATGACTATTTACATTGTAGATTCTCACTGAAGGCATCAAAACTATGAATGAACACATGTGGAGTTATGTACTTAACAAAAAAAGGTGAAATAACTGAAAACATGTTTTATATTCTAGTTTCTTCAAAATAGCCACCCTTTGCTCTGATTACTGCTTTGCACACTCTTGGCATTCTCTCCATGAGCTTCAAGAGGTAGTCACCTGAAATGGTTTTCCAACAGTCTTGAAGGAGTTCCCAGAGGTGTTTAGCACTTGTTGGCCCCTTTGCCTTCACTCTGCGGTCCAGCTCACCCCAAACCATCTCGATTGGGTTCAGGTCCGGTGACTGTGGAGGCCAGGTCATCTGCCGCAGCACTCCATCACTCTCCTTCTTGGTCAAATAGCCCTTACACAGCCTGGAGGTGTGTTTGGGGTCATTGTCCTGTTGAAAAATAAATGATCGTCCAACTAAACGCAAACCGGATGGGATGGCATGTCGCTGCAGGATGCTGTGGTAGCCATGCTGGTTCAGTGTGCCTTCAATTTTGAATAAATCCCCAACAGTGTCACCAGCAAAACACCCCCACACCATCACACCTCCTCCTCCATGCTTCACAGTGGGAACCAGGCATGTGGAATCCATCCGTTCACCTTTTCTGCGTCTCACAAAGACACGGCGGTTGGAACCAAAGATCTCAAATTTGGACTCATCAGACCAAAGCACAGATTTCCACTGGTCTAATGTCCATTCCTTGTGTTTCTTGGCCCAAACAAATCTCTTCTGCTTGTTGCCTCTCCTTAGCAGTGGTTTCCTAGCAGCTATTTGACCATGAAGGCCTGATTCGCGCAGTCTCCTCTTAACAGTTGTTCTAGAGATGGGTCTGCTGCTAGAACTCTGTGTGGCATTCATCTGGTCTCTGATCTGAGCTGCTGTTAACTTGCGATTTCTGAGGCTGGTGACTCGGATGAACTTATCCTCAGAAGCAGAGGTGACTCTTGGTCTTCCTTTCCTGGGTTGGTCCTCATGTGTGCCAGTTTCGTTGTAGCGCTTGATGGTTTTTGCGACTCCACTTGGGGACACATTTAAAGTTTTTGCAATTTTCCGGACTGACTGACCTTCATTTCTTAAAGTAATGATGGCCACTCATTTTTCTTTAGTTAGCTGATTGGTTCTTGCCATAATATGAATTTTAACAGTTGTCCAATAGGGCTGTCGGCTGTGTATTAACCTGACTTCTGCACAACACAACTGATGGTCCCAACCCCATTGATAAAGCAAGAAATTCCACTAATTAACCCTGATAAGGCACACCTGTGAAGTGGAAACCATTTCAGGTGACTACCTCTTGAAGCTCATGGAGAGAATGCCAAGAGTGTGCAAAGCAGTAATCAGAGCAAAGGGTGGCTATTTTGAAGAAACTAGAATATAAAACAGGTTTTCAGTTATTTCACCTTTTTTTGTTAAGTACATAACTCCACATGTGTTCATTCATAGTTTTGATGCCTTCAGTGAGAATCTACAATGTAAATAGTCATGAAAATAAAGAAAACGCATTGAATGAGAAGGTGTGTCCAAACTTTTGGCCTGTACTGTATAAAGTAAATATCTCCTAACTGCAGTGTTAAGAGGCTAAACTTGTTGCCTGTGTTCCTACATGTTTATATATTATATACAACAGAACAGGTATTGTCCCTGACGCATGTTTCTCTTTGTTGCTGGACAGCCTTGGAAACCATCTGATTAAAGGTCACACACTTTATCATTATGTGAACCTTCATCAAATAACTTAATACGGCCATGCATTTGTCTAACAACAGATACATCATCAACATACATCAATGACAACACCTGTGTCATGTTATATGTTATAACTAAACACAGAACAGTCGCAGACAGACAGTCTAGCTGGTATTTTAAGCATCTACACTTGCAGAATCTCCAACAACAGACAGTGAAATAAGGAAAGGGCGATTTGGATCTATCTGATAGAGCGCCATTTTCTGGAAAACCAATTTAGAAACCATTTACAGATTCAAACCCCATTCAAAAGAGTTGGGAGGCTGTGTAAAATGTAAATAAAAACAGAGTACAATGATTTACAAATCCTTATCAGTATACAATGGGGAAGATAAGTGTTAAACATGTCAATTTTTTCCATTACACATCTTTTAAATACAGCAATTCATATAAAATTCTGACCAGACATTGGTATTAAACTACACTGATAAAGAAATGATAACTTTTCAACCCATAAAAATCAATCCATATTGGAAAACCGTGGGTAAAGAAAGTATTGGACACGCTAACTTAAATTTATTCAATACAATGCTAGCCTCAAGACGCTTCCTGTATGAAGAAACTCAGTGTTCAGATGGGATTTTGGACCACTCTTCCACACAGACATAGCCTTTACATCATAGCCTTTTGACCGCTTGAGAATCTCGAGAAAGAAATTTCACTTTTTAAATGTAAAAACTTTAGTATCCTTAGTGTTGTTAAAAGCAAAGGTGACGAAACACAGTTAACACACGGTTAACATACCCATGTCCCAACTTTTTTGAAGCATGTTGCAGGCATCAAATTCAGAATGAGCGTACATTTACAAAAAACAATAAAGTTTGAACATTACACATCTGGTATTTGTACTGTATTCAATTAAATATATGTGGAAAAGGATGTGCAAATCATTGCATTCTGTTTTTATTTACATTTTACAGTGTCCCAACTTTTTTTAGAGTCAGAGTCGTCTGATAACCAGTTGTGTTTTCTGTTAATCTTGTAAAAACCTGACAAATCAAGGTACTTCATTACACTAATGCTAAACTAACAGAGGTATTAAAACAATATACAGTATGACAAAATCATCTCTTAGTATATGTCATGTTGCCCAACACTAACTACAATTGCACTCTCATATATCTTCTGAGATATCCAGCGACTACTGCATAGCTCAAATGTTTCTCCATACACCGCAGCCCTACACCTGACCTCAGATGGCTTCAACACTGTGCAAACAAAATGCTATAGCAATGTTTTACTAAAGCAATAAAAGAATAAAAAGGCTAAGAGTATTCAACAGCAATACTCCAAAGGTCCTTATCTGGCATTTTCATATACAGCCTGCCGTAATGCTCATTTCACTGGATTCAATTCAACACTTTTATCTTGACGCTGCACATAAAGGCAAAACCTCCCTGGAGGCATCAATGGCTCAACAAATAGTGAAACCGATGTATCAGGGCATTCAGTACACTAATTAAGCTGCAGTCAACAAATGAGAGAATGTAATTTTCCTGCTGCCACTTTCAGTGTCAGTACACAATGAAGAAGAAGAAGAAGAAGAAGAAGAAGAAGTAGGTTTAGCTATTCCAACAAGAGTCCTACATTCTGTGAATCAAATGAGAAACTCACCAGACTGACCCACCTAAAACTGCTGAGTAATTCTTTCCACTCTTATCTGTATTTCAGACGTAAGCTTGGATTTGTCTTATCTTTATATGCAGAAGAGGGTAAGGTCAGTAGTAAGGTAACTCCACAACATCTCAGCTTTGCAACAAGGGGCAAATGAATGACAAAATCCTCAACATACTTTCAGACACCTTAACTTGGTTGTGTATAGACATGGCTGGCATCCAAGTATTATACCATCAATCCATGTCTGTCTGTGTGTGTCGTTGAGTGCCATATTATGACACTGCTGCCTTCCCCACCTCTGAACACAGCTTAGTTTGCACAGGACTGGATGGATGCCTTGATCCTGTGTGTGATAAGGAGATGGTGCAATGTGACAGAAGCAGCGGGCTGACAGGGCAGTGGCAGTGGCAGCACTCCCTATCATACATGCATCAGTTAAGGGCAGCTCAAGACACATAATCAGATTGCTCAACGTTAGTGTCAATGATTGCCAAACCAAAGTTAGTGTGGGGGTAAATTAACGTTAGCCACACCATGATGACAAGTGTTTTGGGAAGGGGTGCCCCGGCACAGTAAAAGGTGTTGCATGCACCTGAAGATGGCTCCCAACGGTAATTCTGACCAAACGTTTGTCTTTAAAAGTTCAGGAGAAAGAAAATTAAAGTTTAGTTAGTATTTAGTGGGCCGAACCAATGACAATAAGGACATGTTGGTGTTTGACATCACTCCATTTTTGAGGAGAAACCTCCGATGAAAGTAGTTTAAGGAAATCCCCCCCTCCCTCACAAGAAAGCACCCGACATGGGTGGAGAGCACACGCACCTTTCGAAGAGTATCCTGACGGCGAATATCCCCAAAGCGAGCGGCAGGGCAGTAAACAAGTGTCCAGCTTTGGGGTACTCCACCCCGGGAGCTGGGTCTGCCAGATCCGCCCAGGTTACGTTGTGTGGGAGCCAAAACCTCTCGTTCCAGAACCAGGCTGAAAGAGCAGCCATTTTCTCGGTGTCCCGGGCCCCGGACGGTTAGATTCAATTAGTTTATTATCCGAAAGAAAAGGATGTATAAAACTTGAGGAAAGCCTCTCTTCACCGCGGGCCACTTGTAAGATGAGTTGTCTCACTCAACTTTACCGCATCAGTGCGGAGGAGACCAGACACTTCCGGTGCAGGTTTTCAAAATAAGAGTCCAAACGGTCAACGGTCGATTTTGTTAGACGAGTTAGACGTTAGGAAGCAAAATTACTTAAATTTATATTTAGGTTCGATAAATATTACCTTTTTCTGTTCAGCCAGGGTTTTAACAATATTAGTTTTGACAATAGCCGAAGACAGCAGAGAAAAGTTGAGATTGGGTTTGGAAAATGCCATTTATAATTTGTAACATGAGGGCCAAACACTTGAACTCTTTTTTAATCAACTGTTTCCACGACACAAAAATAAGTATTTGATGTAGTTTGGCAGTGGCACTTATTAACTGACAGACCGGAAAGACGCACAGGTTTGACTTGCAATTCAGTGGCACCTCCGAGGGGGGGTGAACCCACGGCCCTCCTGATACAATATCTTACAATGTAATGTTGAGTTCGCACTGGGCTAGAAATAAAACAATTTACGCGAGTGAATTACATGTAAAGTCAATGTGAAGATGCGATTAGACATGAGTTCTAGCTGGGCTGGCCGATGGATGCAATGGACCCAACGCAAATGACGCAAAATACGCAAAATGAAGGGGCGCAAATGAAGCAAGTAGGCCTTGTGTGATTTCGCGTCATACGCTTATTCGCAAAGAGTTAAAAAATATGAACTCTAGCAACCATTTTGCACCGCAATAGCCAACCAGCACTGACCCGGGAACGGGTATCAAGTTAATTCAGCAATTTCACGCACATTTGAAGTGTATTTACACGCGAGTCATCACAAAATATTCTAGCATTCAAACTCAAGCGAGTACTGCAATGCAAAAATTTGCATCAATTGGTACCATGTTGGCATAGCCTGTCAGGGAGGGGGCTAAAAAAAAAAACATGCTTCAAATTAAGGCTAAATTTTGGCAAAGGAACATGGCATGGCTATTTTCAAAGGAGTCCATTGAACTTTCAAGTCAAGATATCTAATTGAAAATGGGTTCCATGAGTATCCACAAGTCTCCCTTAAACTTGAAACGGCTTGCTCCCAGTAAATGTTTCGTTCCTTATAATCAATGTACTAGCCTACTTCAATTAAAGCTCTACGTTTGTCTTTTAAGGAAAAAGACTACCAGCCTATTTAAAGAACAATAAATCACCTAACAGGTGGTGTTGTGGAGCGCAGAACGCTAACTGTGAATAATTGGAATCCAAAATGTAAAATTAGAAACCGAAGTATATCAATAGCTGATTCCTTAACTCTCCATGTTGACATAGTTTTAATTAGCTCAAATACCACAGCAGCTTGGAATTCCTGAAGCATAATTACGGCCTCTGGTTGTGGTGTGCCCCGGGCCACAAGACTTCCAATGGCCCCCATCTGACCACCCCCATGAGAAATTTCTGAGTGCGCCACTGCTGCAAGTCAATCAACAACCTGAGATTGGACTTGACCAGCGCTTCCTTATTATCTCACACCTTTTACTTTCTAATTGTGAAGGTAAAGCAGCGCAGCTTCCTGTCTCCAGTGGCTGTCACCGCTCAGCTTGACACACCTTGGCTGCCGCCCTGAGATGAGAACTGGAATTGAGGAAGTAAGGCGAGTCCCTCCTCCTTCACCGGAGGGATGGGTGCCATGCATGTATGGCATCCATCCCTGCTGTTTCCTCCGTTAGAGCCACACTGTGGTCAGATACTTTTAATGTTTGAGTTATGATACCTTACTATACCTTGGGAGACTTTACAGCTTCCGGTCAGACTGATAGGTTATCTGTGAAGGTGCCGTATCAAAGGTAGATAACTCTGACAGGAGTGACGGGCTTGTGATTGATGTGATGGCACACCCAAGTGTTCAATGCATGTATTACAACTACAGATTGTTGAGGAATATTATGTAACATCTTGACCTATACAAGCATAGGGTTAGTTATTCTTGTAAGGGCTCAGACATAGATGGCACCCCCTTATATGGTATTTATAAGTGTTGCTTTAAGATGTGAAATATTTGAAATAGAGATGAAATATGACAGTCGAGTAATGATTTTAATGGCACCACAATGGGATAGTATTTCAAAAAAATTCTGTGTTGTTAAGCAGCGATGGGGCAGCTGCAGCTCTGTCTAATTATAGATGGACTTTTACTCCCTTGGAGCATGTTATAATTAGAAATCTCACAGGCCGGTTGACTCAATAACTATGCAAGGGGTTTCAGCAGGGGAATCCAATTTTAAACAAGCAGCAAATGATGGTACTTTACGGTACACGACATAGCTGAGCAATAGAGCAGCCAAAAAATAACATATTTGTTGGATCAAAGAGCATACATGGGGAGGATTTCTGAGTGTTTTATCAGTTACAACATTGGCACAGCAGGGTATGTAATACCACCTCAAGGCCAGAACAAATAGGCTACCTTTCCTGCTGCCTTTCGCCAAAAGTCTTATCCAAAGTGACTTGCAGGGACTGAGCATTGACGGGATACTCTGGCATATGGTGACGGACAGATGGCCGTTAATGAGCACACATTGGTTTCTTGCAATTTAATAGAATCCAGAGAGCAATTACATCTCCAGAGATGTTTCTGAATTAATCAAAAGAATACAAAACAAACTTGTTAATCAAGTGGGTTGAAAAACACAATAAAAGTTTGACTATGAAAGCATTCATAATCGCACTGAATCAATTACCATGAAAAATCCACACTAAACAACACAGCCATCACTTCTGAGGCCCGAGGCAAGATGTGCGCTTTAACGAAAGGTTGAAGAGGACGCTCTAGAAAATGGTAAAGGTGAAGAGTTTAGAGTGGCAGCCAGGCTGAGCTCAGGTCAGGTTACAGTGAGGCTGCTGCAGAGTGTGTGAGAGTGTATACTGCAGGCAGATACCCACACGTTAAAAAGAAAACATTAGACATGAACATGAAGTCAATAATTTATTCCAAAATAAATCATCATAAGAAGTCCAGAAAGAGGAAAAAAACAACACAGTGGGAGTGGTGTCTGTTGTGTGTTCAGCGCTTTGTTTACCGTTGGAACACAAATGTCAGAGAAAAGGCACGTTGAGGCACTTTAACAGAGAAATGATGTAACATTTCATAATATTCAGGTCGGGGTTTAAGTATTGTGTAAGTAAATTCTTAAGATTTTAAGACTTATGCAACTGTTTAAGTCATGTATGTTTCTAATCAGGTGGAAACAGAGGTTATGCCTCTCTCAGTAGTGTAACAGAAGCAGGTAAACAGCAGCTCAGGTAAGGAGGGCAACTCTGCTCCATTGTTTTCTTTTCTGTTTGAGTTTCAAACAAGAAAGTAGTCCTAACCTTCACCCCCTACAATCACCTGGGTTATACAGTAGTTCTAGTGTAAAAGTCCTTTCTCAGCTTCCACCCATGCATTTAGTCCTTTACATGTGCTCTGGGTGGTTCTGCAAACAGCTGATGAACTCTGTGACTGGGTGGCCGTTGAAGCAGATCTGCTGAACAGCAGTGAAAAGAGGAAACCTGCAGAGGTGAGAGAATGATTTGAGACATTATTAAAGGAATAGTTTCACATTTTGGGGGTTAAATAGAAAGACTGGTACCACTCTCATGTCTGTTGGCTAAAGCTGGAGTTATACTTGTGCGTTGAATCATCGCTGTACCTATAGTGAAGGCTCTGAGTTGACGTAGAGCCTACGCCATAACCTGATGTGCACCTGCCCAGAAATGTAACTACACATCGCGGCGACACCTATTTCTGTTAGCTGAAACCATTTCCCTCAGTGGTAATGAAGCTTTTATTTATTTTAATTTCACAGATAAGAAACAAAACATTGTGAAGACAATAAAACCCCCAAAAAAAAGTATTTTAAGTCTTGTGTGTGATTTATCCTGGCTTCATATGAGTAAAGGAAATCTCTGCTAGTCACTAGGCTAATTTATACAATGTAAAATGCCATAGGCTTGCGCTAATAACATTAGCATGTTGTATTTGTGGGGAAAATGTGTCTAGAAAAAGACAAATGCTTTGTGTGTGAATCCTTCGAGTTATAAATTGTCGCTATTAAGTAAACTAAGCTTTACAGCACTTCACATAGTATTTTGTATTTATTCTATCGGCGATTTTTAAAGAAGCCCTACAAACCCGCTGGCCACAAACTGTAAAAAACAGAGATTATCTTTGGATTTTAATATTTCAGACAGTCCTTGAACACATTATGTGGGACAGTCGCTTCTGTCAGAAAAAACACAACCATATCTATGCTTAAAATAGTGACGTTTCATTCTATATAAAATTTTGCCATGGATTAAGCATTTACAATAACAAGCATGCATGACAGGTGAAAAACTGAGGCTTTTTTCAACTTCAGGATTTCGTCTTCAACTCTTTACCTTCAAATTTCAAAGGGTAAGTTTAAAAAATCAAATAGGCTATCTAATTTATGGTGGAGGGAGGGTCGTGCATTTTCCCTCAGTCACTCAGGGAGACTCAAGTAAAAAATATTTGTAGCTTCAGGGAGGGTCAAAAAACAAAACAAAACAAAACAAAAAACCAAACGAGTCACATCCCAGCAACCCCCTCCTCTGATAAAAAAGACCAGACCCTGCTAGAGCCAGCAGATTATCTTATCTTAGCTTAGCTTATCTTAGCATAAAGACTGGAAACAGGGGGAGACTGCTAGCATGGCTCTGTGCAAAGGTAACAAAATCCAACTAGCAGCAGCTCTTGAGTTCATTAATAATCACATTATATCTTGTTTGTTTAATCTCTTCAAAAAAAGTGTATAAGTGATAAGTTGTGGTTTTATGAAGACTTCCTGAACTCTTTGCTGGTTGCCTACAACACGTTAGCATCCAACGTCATCAAATGCAGACAATTTTTCACACGATACTCACGCCGTACCCTATCATGTCTCATTGAGACACATGCTTTAACGTCTGTATGTGACGCACAGCGGTCTCCTGGGTGAAACTTATTGTACCATGTGCTTAACATTGCCAATCAGTTGCGATTTAGGCAACAAAACTACTTAGTAATGTTTATAAAAAAACGTCATGTTTTGAGTTAAAATAAGCTCGTAATGTGTCATAAATGGATCAGGTGAGTGATGTAAGTACGTCACGGATGATCGTAAATTACGTAACATTATTTTAAACAGCACTGGGTTTTGGTTTTACGTGGGACACAAACGGTGGTCTCCTGGCTGAAAGTCTGTAATGGTTTGACTCTTCTATCTCCCCTCCCACTCACCCTACACAGACATGTTTTGTCTTTATTACTACGCCAGTTGCTCCGAGCATCAAATATCATCACTGATGTGTTTACACTAGAATGACATGGAAGCCCTGTGCAACTCACTGAGACGCCAAAGATTGTCACCGGCGTTGGTGTCACATGCCGAAGGGTGTTAAACGTGTCAGTATTTGATGCATGGGAATGAGAACAGACTGTTGCCTGGCAACCTCACAATGACAACAAGCACATAGCTCCTCATAAAACCCCAATTTGTCGCTTTTACACTTAAATATTTTGTATGAAATGAACATGCAAGATATACCATGGTATTTTCTGAGTTTTAGAGGTGCTGGAAGGCAGATTTTTTTGTGGCCTCATATTTAACGTACAAAACACGAGAGTGGCACCAGTGTTCTGATGTAGCTCTCGGCAAGAAAGCTCATTGGCACATTTTCAAATACCATGTTCATTTTTGCAGGACATGATGCGATCACAATTAAATCTTATTTTGTATAGATACCTAAGATGAATCCTGATTCATATGCACTCAGTGAAACCAACATGTATCAGTAAGTGTAGGAATGGTAAATGTCCAAACAAGCCACCTTGTGATTTACATCCTTGTTGTAAAACATGAGACAAACTTACTTTTCCACCATGTTCTTCTGTTTCAAGATTTGGTGGACCTCAGCTGCGGTCGCTGGACCCTGAAGCTTCTGACCGTTCAGCAGCTCGTTCTCCAACTGCTCAATGGTCTAAAACAAAGAGTTCAGAGGTGGTGTTTGGTGTTTGGTGCAGCTTCTGTGTTTGATGTTACCTTATGATGGCTTTTAAGGAGTGATAGGGATTATCTGAGACAGAGACTGGTCCTCATACTTTGCCTGTTTTGGCGAAAGCCTCCCCAATCTTGCGGTTGCGTCCACCATAGCAGGTTGTGATGAGGTCAGCGATGCCGCAGCTCTCCAGGAAGGTGGCAGGAGAGACGTGGCAGTCTGTGCAGAAGACCCTGGCGAAGGCGATCATCTCCATCAGGCCGAGACGAATCACTGCCGCCTTGGTGTTGTCGCCGAATCCCAGGCCATCGCAGAAACCCGCTCCCACTGCTACAATGTTCTGCAGCGACAGGAAAGAGGAGATGCTGCTGTTATTGTGTTGCACTTTTTACACGTTGGGGTAAGTACTCGTGCATGTGAGGAATGTCACTGCTTAGACGAGAAAGGAATGCCTCCAAATAGATTTCCACATCAAAAAATTCCCAAATAATTAAAAACAAAATAAGATTATAAGGGATATATTAGAACATTTATATCGGGTTTATTGGACCAATTCTGAATCTTGAAGCAGACATATCTCTTAAATGTGTTGACCAGCCTGTTAGCTTTTTAAAAAGATGTCTGATGATTACAAAAGTGAATCTGAAGACAAATATCAGCAGATCTCAAACTGCAAAAACATTTTAGTAAAACTGACTTCTTTTGACCATATTTTTACTCTCATAACTTTTAATGCACTCTTCAACCTTGTAAAAGTGTTCTCTTACGAGCTTTAGCACAGGCGTGACATTGAAATTTCTTGTACAAGGTTGTGATAATAAAGAAGTGAAATGTGTTTTCAAAGGAGGAGAAAAGCCGACCTTGAGCGCCCCACAGATCTCCACAACATCAGACTCCTCCACCACAGTCACACGGAAGTTGGTGGTTTGCATCAGCTCCTTCAGCATGGGCCCATGAGCCTTGTCTTTGCAGCCTGTGTCCAAAAATAACACATACGTCATCACTGGTTTACACAGTGCAGCACTTTAGAAATGTATACTGTATATAAATATGCAACTATCATTCTGTCAAAGCCTTTCGACATAAAGCTCTGTATAAATACCACAGATTTCAATACAAATAAAACAAAATGTCTCCGAAGTATGTGTATACATGTGCTTATGGGGCTTTACATCATAACATGTTTTAAACAGAGGAACAGAGCATGACACAATCTTTCACTTTCAATAAATTAATGGATGATATACAAGATGTCTGTGTGGCCGATATGACATGGGAAGACAAAATCTAGGGTTTGACAGCAGATGTGTGGACTCCAGTCACTTGACTTGGACTTAAGTCAAACTCATATCACAGATTTGATTAACTTGACTTAGCTTGACAAAAAGACTCACAACTCGACTTGGACTTTAGCACCAATGACACATGGTTTCACTTGAACCTGAGCCTTTTGATTTGGACGTACTTGATGCCTTCCCGCAAGTATGTTATTTAAAAAGTGTGCTACGAATCACATAATTTTCCTTCATGTCTTGAGTCAACTTATATTAATGTTATTCTTTCCCAGCAAGCAACACTTAACTCCACATCCACTTTGTTTGAACCAGTCCGACTGCATCCAATCAAATTGCAGGAGAGAACCATTACGAGCTAACGTTGCAGTACCGAGCGCCAGTTGGAAAAACTCATACCAATGATAACTTTGTTTGCCTACAAAAACTATACAGTGGTCAACAAAGAACAAATTGCGGTAAACAAAATGTGCAGGTCGAAAATTATAGATTGAAACGCAACAACTTCCAACCTGTTCGACATTTGACGTTGCACAAAGATCAGTAAGTCGAAGCTAATATTAACACAGTTAGTGAGCTAATGCTATGCTAACGTTACCTTAATAGCTGAGTAACTTTTAGACACCTTGTTTTAACAAATAAATACAAGTTATAAAAAGCGCAGAGCACAGAGAAGCAGTCAGAGCTACAGGCTACAGTGAGGCTAAAAACGGAGTTCATATGACGTTTTTCGAAACAACTTTTTATGTCGGGGCTTCAGGACACTTGGATCACTACGGATGAGCAGTATGGAGATACTTTGTGGATTCAATTTTGTGTTCTTGGACGTTAGTCTGGGGCGCCGTCAGCCATTAGGTGTGTTGGCCGCTCCCCCGGCCGATCTCCGCAAGGCATGTGAGGACTCTAAAACTTCACCAGGGCCTCCGTCGGCATATGGGTGAGTAGATAATGGCTGAATTTTCATTTTTGGGTGCACTATCCCTTTAACTGCAGCTGGAGCCTCACTCAAATTTGCTGTTTACATCTAGAGAAAAATTAGATTACTTATTTTTAATCCATCCATTTACACATTCAAAACATTATCGTGCTTTACTTTCATAGAAAGTCATTTTGTGCCCTTAACTGTAGACGTCTAACTCCAGAATCAGACTTGTCAAGTGTCCATCTATCCTCCATACCGATGGTTGTTTCACAGAACTTTTCCTCAGCGACCTCGTTGGCAATGTTTGCTCCCATGAGGACCGTCATGGTGATGCCCAGCTTCCCTCGGATGACCTCTGAGATCAGCTTCAGACCCTCTGGACCCGCATCGACACCCTGGAGGAGACGGATAACCACAAAATCAACACATGGTGCATCATTACTTCCAATTCTTAAGTGCATTGTGTAATTCCTGTATCATCGATAGAAGGTATTAAGACAAATACTACCTTGATGAGAGACATTCCTACAGCATCCTTCTTGATGTGGTCTTTAATGGTGTCGCACACCCTTATGATGAACTGGTGAGGGACCACGAAGATCAGAATGTCGGCTCCCTTCACGGACTCAACCAAGTCTGGAACAGCATGCTGACGAGGAGAGAGGAAACATGTTGAAGCTAAAACCACACAGCAACACCAAACTGTCATCAGAGAGTGTTTCCATACTCACCACATTGGGGGGCAGCTTGTGGCCGGGCAGGTATTTCACGTTTTCATGGTCTGTGTTGATGATTTCTGTGAGTTTACGGCCGTTCACCGTTTCCTCGAACACCCACATGTTCACCGTGGTGTCAAACGTGTCATACTTGGCTGCGTTGGCACCCACAATCTTGGCAATGGCAGAGCCCCTGTGGACACAGAGACACACACTGAGCATCCTGGAGCAGAGACAGCAGCTGGTTGAACTTACTGTTTCCCAAAAAGGGTTAAATGTTCTTTTTGTGATTTCTAGTAGTATTCTTGCCCACTGATGTTCATTAACGTGCTCTGTCCCTATCAAACAAACAAATAAATTAATACATTTCAATAGGTCTCATACTTTGATGTGCAGCTGCAGTGATATTGAAAGAAAAAATGATCAAAAATTGTGATATACATGACTACTGACTTTTTATTGATGTGTATTTTTAGATTAGAAAATGTTCATTGCTCATTGTTCTTTAATTATTGCTTGTATTAAGGAGATATTACACTTTTAAAATAATAAAAAAGATGATTTTAGATATTTAACAGCTATTTTCTTATAGTTCGTACAGTGGTGTATTTCCTAATGGTGAACAAACATCCTGTGCCACTTGTGACTATGGTGTCACGTGACTTGAATAGTTTTCAGATGCTTTCCCAGACAAGAATAACACTACAGGTGAAAAAACAGAATACCAGGAGGGCATTATTTAACCATGAGGAGTGTCTTATTTAAAGCTTTACCACTGAATATCAACATAACACAGACTGAGGGCTGCGAGAATCCCTTTTAAAAGATCATATATCAGTATTAAGTATCAGTAAGTTGGCGTGTATTGGCAGAGATCAATTCAATGTTTGTCCTTTTACAACTGATTTATATCAAACACATTATAGTTTTAAAGTACTTGTACTTTGCTTGAGTGTTTCCAATGTATATATGCTACTATACACATCAGCTCCACTATAGTAACTTATATAATAACTACATGACATCATGAGTACTTTTACCTCCAAGTCTTGAGTTACATGATGCTAATAATCAGTGGTGGAAGATGTACTCCAACTTTTGACAGCAGTAAAAGTAGCAAAACTTCAGTGTAAAATACTTTATCACAAGTAAAAGCCAAAATACAAAATCTTACTTAACTAAAAGTACAAACGTATTGGCATTAAAATGTACCTAAACTACCAAAAGTACCAGTAGTGTAAGGTAGTTATGATGGGCCCTAGTGTGCCCTAGTTAATAGCTATGAAGCACACACACACAGACAGAGTTTCAGGCATATATATATTTTCCCAACAGTGTGTCTTACCGACACTTTTATGTTATATCCACTTGCTGATGCACCCAGCTGGTCAGTCTTGAGAGATTTTGCACCTAAACTAGCTTCTGTGAATTGTCTCGTTTCGTTACAGGATCAAACAGAGACCTGATACTGGACAACGTCAACATACATATTACCTAGCAACCATATTTACACATCTGTATCTGACAACAACTACAGAAGACAATAGTAAATTATTAGTTTAACTACATAGTTTTTTATAGTTTATGTAGAGTTAGCATATCATTTGTTATTGATTGATACTATGTTACAAAAACAGAAAAACATGGTGGAGATGGGTTTATCTTTTTGAAGGCATATATCAAAAATCGCACCATTTTTGATTTAACGTGAGTTCTTCTTTGAGTATGGGTGTATTTCCAGGTGGCAATCGGGCCCCTCCACCCCACGGGCCCCAGCGCAACCGCACTGCCTGCACTGCTTACATTTACGCCCCTGAAAAGTAGTCACTGTGCAGAATGGCTAATTTCAGAATCATGTTGCAGCGAGCACTGTTTCACTCCGAAGTTGTTGAAATCTGGCGCTCGGGCAGTGACTTGCAGCATCAAAAACCAAGGAAAAAAGGCGTCCTTTAACGTCGACATGATACACAGCCAGTTGCCATTATAGTTTAACTGCGTCCGGCGACATCAGGGGGAAATGCGGTGGGACAAGGATGAAGGTTAAGGCAGTGAAAGTCCGATTTGGGCAGGCAGGACAAACAACAAACATCGAATTAAACCCAACAGAGCGGTAAGATTCGTAAGGTTCTAAAGCCAAACCTTGTTCTTTTTTCCTAAACCTAACCACGTGCATTTGTTGAATTCAAGGTGTTGTTCCGACATATCGCGTTTATTTTGAAACTGTATGTAAACGGTAAACTTCCTGTGAAAAAGGAAGTGTACTTTGAAAGAAGACAATGCATGTAACAGGCAGAGCTTAACACGGCGTCCCAGAACATCAACAACCAACACACCCAGGGTACCTTGCACGTCATATGTGGATGTGGAAAGTCCATGACCAAACATGGATATGTGACGAGGTCGGGGTGAGAGTGTGTTGTTCCAGCTGGTAAAGGTGGACTATTTTATATCCTGCCGAGTTCTTTAATCTGTAATATTACATCATGATTGATTAGCTGATTTACATTTTGTATTAATAATCTAAATCTGCAAAGTAACTAAAGCTTTAAAATAAATGTAGTGGAGTAAAAGGTATAAACTGGCCTCTTAAATGTAGTGAAGAAATATAAAGAAGCATAAAATGGAAATACTCAAGTAAAGTACAAACACATCAAAATTGTACATAAGTACAGTACTTGAATGAATGTACTTAGTTACAATAATAGTGATACTTCCTTCCTCTAATAGGTATAATTTGAATGCAGGTCAGTTACTAGCACACTGTGGTAATGCTGCTCTGGGTATCTTTAGTAGGTATCTGAATACCTCTTCCTCCACTGACTAATCTAAATGTCACGCAGGCTGAGGGATATCAACTCCACACGAAGGCTGATTCAGCACAAATATCTCTGAATATGAAAAAGTCAAGAGCTGCTTGTTTAATAAAGATTTTTGGGCTGTTGAAGCATCAAAGGTCATCAGACAGTCAGTCTCAGCAGGACCTCCACTCTGCAGTCTGGCAAAAGACAGCAGGCGACTTATTAACTTTATGAATTATTTATCTGCTGTTAACAAAAGGCTGAAGCGGTTTTCTTTCTGCAAAGTTTACCAACTCTTTGACAACATTCACTCTCACACACACAAAAGTCTCCTGGCCCACTGTGTGTGGACTCTAATATGGTGTCTGGAGACTTTGCAACGCACCACTGACTGTACTAACACTGAGCTGAGAGACATCCTAAAGTGCATTAGAGTTAATCAAACACCTCATCACCCCTGAACTCACCAGTTACCAGAGCCGATCACACAGACTTTCTTCGGCGCTGCCATGATGTGTTTGACCTTCCAGACGGAGCTGCTGCCGGTGCGGAGACACACTGAAGCCGGGACAGAGTGTATTTATACGGACACACAGCTGGGGCTCGGTCACACCCTCCGACACCGGTTGGTCTGCTCTGTCGCCTCTCAGGGAAACACTCCCTCTCCTATTACTCTCACACACAAGTAACGGGACAGCAGGGTGTTTCATTAAGCTGACAGTGATGTAGGACCATTTACTTCTCGCGTTTTTATGCTACAAACTGCATTAACTCAGTTTATGTGGTTGGTTAAATAGTAGTAAATTGAGTTAGGGACTGTTCGTTATTCATGAGGTGGAGGTGGGGGTGCGAAAAGGGGGAGGCATGTCAATTTTGTGAGCACTGCAGAGGTACTTGTGTTTTTTATTTTGGCTCATGGGAGGGACTTACAACTTTATTTTGTATTTATTTTACCACTGATTTTTATGGAAGATATGCTGGCATGATTTCTTTTTAAAAAATCAACCAAAAGGCTCACCTGCTTTTTCAATACTTATCATCAGTTATTTGCATATGAGTCATGTATCACCGAGTACTTGTATTGTTTAACAACACATTCTCACTCCGACCTCGTCACGCACTGACGTTTGGTCATGGACTTTCAAGGTACGTTCTGGGACAGTGTGTCAAGTTCTGCCTGTTACATGCATTGTCTTCTTTCAAAATACACTTCCTTTTTCACAGGAAATGTAATATTTACATACAGTTTCTTTCAAAATAAACGTACAAACGGTACAACACTGCGAATTGACCTTTTTTTCCCTTCAACAACAAACACGTGGTTGGGTTTTGGAAAAAAGAACAGGGTTTGGTTTTAGAATCCTACGGAAACACTGCTCTCTTGGGTAAAAGTCCATGTTTGTTGGACCCATCCACCACTGCTCTCTCCAGCCCCAGTCAGATGTTTGCCGCCCTAACTTTCGTCCTTTAGTTTCCCCCTGACGCCACCGGGCACCGTTAAACTATAACGGCAACTGGCCGCTTATCATGCCAAAGTTAAAGGATAGTTTTTTACGTTGGTTTCTGACGCCACAAGTCACCTGCCCCAGCACCAGATTTTGACAACTTTGGAGTGAGACTGGACTCTGTTTAACAACTAGGGATTGTTTGACTTCAATGTTTTGAAACAAATGGCTCATGAACTACAAAAGAAACCGACAACAGCTACTGCTGACCACACCACTGTGGATAAGGGCGCAACCATGTTGGAGGAATGCTCTGACCCCAGCTCTAAACTGCCTGCAGATCTGGAGAGACCTGTTACTTACTCTCACGCACTGTTCAGTCTGTATCTCTATGGACTTTCAAGGTAAGGGCGGGAGGGGATCGGTGAAAGATGTGGAGGGATGTTTGTTAGGACAAGATAAAATGGAAGGAAATGTATTGTTTCAATTGTAACTCTGTATGATTTGCAGTTATCTGTCAATAAAAAACATCACCAAATTTACACCATTTATCACACCAGAAACTGTAAAAACAGAAATTATCATTGGATTTTAAAATATCTGACAGTCCTTGAACATATCATGTGCCAAAAAATAGTGATATTTCATCAAAATCACTTTATTCTGCGTCTCATTTAAAATTTGACCAAAAATAAACTGCACAAACTAACCAGCAGCACGACCAGAGTGACAAACGAAAGTGTTTCTTTTAACTGCAGGATTTTGTCTTTAATTTTTAACTTTTAACTCTCAAACATCAAATAATATGTTTTAAAATCTAATAACTCATTTATGGTGGAAGGAGGGTCATGTATTTTCCTGCAGTCATACCCCAGCCACCCCCCTCCTCTGATAAGTAAAGAACAGTCCCTTGCTTCTAAAGTAGAAAATGACAGTAATGGGAAATAAATAAAATATTTGGTCAAATACTTCACAAACTAAAGCTGAAACAGAGCTGGACCAAACACGTTCGGCGCCTCAGACAAACCCTCAGAAAATCTTTTTTTATATTTACTGTATTAATTATAGACAAGAAGAGGCAGTTACATAAAACATTTTCTGGGTGCTCAAGTGTGAAATTCAGCGGTGTAAACTAACAAACGAACTACATTTATTCAAGTACTGTACTTCAGTGAAAGTTTTACTCCACTGTATTTGTCTGACAGCTGTAGTTACTTTTCATATTAGGACTTTACATAAAAGAACAATTGATAAGCTTATAAAATAAATGTATTGTTACAGATTAAAACAGTGGTTCCCGATGGTTTTGGCCTGTGACCTCTTTCAAACAAGCAGTCTCTAGCTGGGGTATCTTGTCGCTTTTCAGATGTCTTTCTTCCACCAGAAGTGATTTCTGTAAGTTTTAAAGACCTCAAAAGGTTCCATATTTAACATAACCCCCCACCACCACCCAATAAAAATAATAATCCAGAAAATGAAATCAGATTTATGCTGCAGTTTTTTTTCTTTCCTAACCAATTACTAATCTCATGACCCCACAGATTTATCTTATGACCCATACTGGAGTCCGAGCCTGAGGTTGGGAAACACTGAATGAAACTACACAACTGTACAGATAAGTTGTGGAGCTCAAAGTGCCAAAAAATACATTTGAAAAACTCAACAGCAATGTCTCTTTCCAGAAATCATGACCCAGTTATTCAAGATAATCCACAGACCTTGTTGTGAACAGTTTCATGTAGGAACTATTTTTGTTACTATATTACACCCGCCAATTATATCACCTAGCAGAAGGAAGCTTGCATCTACTGCTAGCTCATCTAGCCACCAATGAGCTAGTTAACTTTACAGCTTAGCTGAGGAGGACATTAATGTTACATCTCACACTGTCACCAGCATAAGCCTCTCATCCTTAAGTAGATGCACACTTCCTTCTGCGTGTTGATTCTATTGATGTGTGTTGTACGGTAGAAAGAAAATCATTTCTACACAAAACTACTCACAAGATTTGTGGAGTAACCAGGTCACAGTTTCTGGAAAGAGATATTGCTGAGTGCCATCTAGTCCCATTGTATTTTACAGAAGGCAGAGATCTTTATGGCTGATATCTCCAACACTCATAACTCACACCAAATCAATCTAGACTGATAAACCACACTACAGGTAAGAGGAACAATATGTAGTAATGATTTTGAAGTGAACTATCCCTTTAAGGAGCAGAGTCCTTCTTACAACACTGATGAATCTTTTGCCGGTGTCGACATCTTAAATAAGATTAAATTTAATGGATTAATTTGGGTTTTGGACTGTTGGTGCAGTCTGAAGGGTTTTAAATACATTTTTAACTATTCTCTGACGTTTAAAGTAAAATGAAAAATGACTTAATTTAGAAACTAATTGCCAGATAAATCAATACTGAAAATAACTCTTGCAGTCTAATTATAATCCATACAGGAATATTAAGGCAGTTTTCATTACACAGAGGTAGAATAAATCACTGGCGGACACAGAGACTCACACAAACAGGAACATTTTACATATCCTTTATTATAACATAAGAACATACAGAAAAATAGGTTTGGTCCATGAAAAAGTCTGCAGATTCAAATACTACTACAGTCCCCCCAGTGTCGCTTTACACCCCAGAGGTTCCCACCACATGTTTCAAATCATGTACCTGCCCAAACCCACATTAGTGTATTCTTGGAATTCGTTAATTAAATGCACACACGTTAAAGTTTCAGCCAGGACACTCATCTTTACTTTCAACAGGGAAACAACCATTGAACTCAGCAAAGTCTTCAGCCAGTGTACGAAGAAGCTACAACTCTTTAAATCTTCTTCAAATGTTTATGGCTTCTCTGCACATAATCAAAAATACACAAAACTAAAAGCAGAATATTTAACTTGTCCCAAGCTTGCAGGCGACATGAACGCTGCGTACGTTTCATCCCGCAGAGCAGCAATTCGTCAAACGTGACTGCCGTCTTTATGTTGAGGAGAGCTAAATCACTGTGCTCCCACAGTGAGGGCTGATTAATAATATAAATACTGGTTCGACTATCTGAGCGTAGACAAAGAGTTAAGAAAAACATCTGCCAGGATAAGAGATACAATTTTACTTCACGTCCATCTTCAGTTTTTTTTCTGCTCAGTATTTACAAAACTATATAGACTAGAGGTACTCATACAAGCTACTTCCTTGATAATCTGTACTAGCTAACAAGACAAGTACTGATATAATACATACTTTAAAAACAAGGATCATTGATAATAACAAAACAAAATAAAGGAAAACTTCATACTTAATGGCGCCCATAACAAAAAGATGTATATTCTGCCATGACTGAGCTTTGAAACGTCTCTCGTACACCAGACGCTGGCACAAACTGTCAAAACAAAGCGATGAGAGCTTAAGACAAAGTGAACGTGAACGGCCAGCGTGCAGCAGAGCAGCCTGATTGATTACAAACACAATCAATACCTCACTGCAAGCATCCGCTGGCCAGATTGGGGAGTGTAAAATGTAAATTTACTTTCCAAAAAGGGGGACAAAGAGCCAAGGCAGAGTCAACACATTCCTGCTGATTTAGGATATTTTTAGATCCAGGGACAAAATACATTAAGTTTCCCTCTGCTTTTCATTTGTGTACAATCTGTACTTTTGTGTGGGCACAAAATGAGAGGAATGCTTCCAGGTAAGGCTTAGACATGCAAGTGAAAATACATTGTGCTCGAGGAGCTCTAGTGTGACAAAGAAAACAAAACAAATAGAAAATAAAGGTGGAAGTGGCAACTAAACTGCAACAGAAGTTGAGCTGCAGGGTGAAGATAAAACGAAACAAAACAAGGACATCCAATATAACAGTAAAGCCATCTAGTATCTATGTCTTTCTAAGTTTGTCAGAAAACTCTGCGAGGAATTCATTTGGAACATCCCACACACGCTCACACGTTAGCCGGCTCCGACATCACAGCACGTCTCTTCATTTGCCGCCTGTGGATACATTGCTCTAGGTGTTCCTGATGCCGAGCGCCTGCTCCAGCTCCTGACGCCTCTGCTGGACCTGAAAGACACACGAAAGAGATTTAATCAGCACAACACAATGCACTGATGAAAGATCAACGTTGGCAATGATAAAAACACAAGACTAAGGCTGCGGTCCAAACAGATCTTTACGATGGACTGTCCGCACTGTTATTTACAAGTGATCAGATCAGATGTGTGTCCAGACATCACCAATAAATCTGCATGGGCTGCTGAGGTAAGTAGGCGTCAGGAACTATGTAACTACCCTGGTGACTCAGCTTTCCAACGTGGAAGCACAAGAAGTGAAGGTCCATTGTTTTGCCCTTCAAACAATCGTGATATCAAGTGGTGGTGCAGCGCCTCTCTGCTGGCATCTGTCCACAGACCATTGTTATCAATGTTGTCCCCATAGCGCTTTGCTAGTAGCAGCATGGATTCTGTTCAGCACTTCCCTAACTCTGGATTTGACATGGTCGTTTTGTGTCGGATTGCAAGTAGAGCTTAGATTCTCTGCCTGAGCCCGAACCGGTCAGGCTGTAATTTCCCTCCACTAACCTCGGGCTGGGACGGTTTAAGCTTCTCATAATAGACCTAGGCTATGGAACCAACTTCTTATCACACCTGGGGGGTGGCTTGTGTCGGCTTCGTTGGGTGTAGTGCAGCACGATGCTAGTATATGACAACAAAAAGACGGGGACCTCGACACTGAAGAGGCACATGACGAAGGCATGCCATGGAAAGAAAGACAAGAGTAAGCCTTCACTGTCCACGTTCGTATCTTTGAAAAAAATGTCGGGTTTAAAGTGGGCTCGGGCTCATAATTACAGTTAAAGGGACGGGCCGGGCTTGGACAGAACATGCACGGGCTCGGGTGGGTTCGGGCTGGATTTTTTGGGCCCGATCTAAGCTCTAATTGCAAGTGACGCAAAAGACACTTTGGAGTGCTTTGAGCGTCCAGACTGAGACCCATCTGTAGAAATCTGATTGGTATTACATTTTCAAACCTCCAAATGTATGAACAGATTTACAAAGTTATGGACAAACTGGATCCCGTATGTGCGACAGTCACGGCCACATTTCTTGGGACTCGAAAATGAAAAGGTACCTTAAAGAATGCCTGTTCTCCTAACCAACTTAAAAATAATGTACTGGAATATCTCCCAATTTGATATATAAATGTATACCTTTATTACACATGCCTTTTTCACAATGTAAAATAGTTTGAGAAAACTTAATAAGGTGCACAAAAAAGAATGAGGAAAGAAGGTTTTAAGTCATGCTGTTTAAAGTGCTGTAAACCCACAATACTTTTTGTATCTGTAAGTATATATATACACTTTAATCTTCTTTTCTGGTAATTGGTTGTCTACCCTTGTCAACCCTTTAATAATAATAATAAAAACTCGAAATGTGGTCTGGATCCAATATGTGAAATCACATTTATTTTTTTGCTGTCCAGACTTTGTAAAATCTATCTTGATAAGCAAAAAAAAAAAAAAAAAAAACAACACAAGGAAAGGATTTGGGCTGGCAGTCTGAACGCGGCTTGAGTCTACAGCCATTTAACCGTGCATAATATGCTGTTTTAAGAAGGTATAATATTTACCATGCTCACCATCTTTATGTGTCAGCCTGCTAATATTTGCTAAAAAGCACTAGAGCACAAACGACTACACCATTAAGTGTTCTAGCCATTTTTCCAGCACAAATACTACAGTCTCTGGCTCCAGAGTATAGTCTATTCCTGTTCATATGAAAGATGTCCTGAAATAACTTTTGTTATGATTTGGCATAATATAAACAAAAAAAGTTCTCAAATGTGACAATTTGCTGTTTTCATTTGTGGTTTATGGAAATTTAATTGATAGTAAATTGAATATTGTTGTTTAGGAACTATAAGTAATTACTTACACCACCTGTGGCTCTAGAGATAAGAGGCATTTATTACTATTTTCAAACATTTTATGAGAAAACAAACAAAAAAAGCAAATTAAAATTAAAAAATAAAAAATAATTGCCAGTTACCCAGTAGATCTGAAAACAGCTTTCACTACTGAGGACGATTTAAACAATTACTATTATTAATTATTATTATCCGCAGATTTATCTGTAGTAATAATAATAATAATAATAATAATTAGCTGTAGTCCTAATGAGCACTATACACAAAGTACAGCTGTTCTAGCCTGGAAATGAGAGGAATCTGTGAGCTCATGTTGTATTTGCTCTGGGAGATGTGTCTGGTTCCCTCCCGCCATGACAGATTTCCAGCTGGCCTCATATGTGCTTACGCAAAATAGGTGATGACGCCATTTCAAAACAAGCTAAATAAAGAGCGGTGCCACTCTTTCAACCAAGTTGGCTACAGCTGATGTGAAACTCTGTTGAAGTACTATCTTCACATACTGATTTCAAAAATTGAAACACTTGATCACAAACATCAATGCTACACCACCACATCTCATCTCTGCACGCCCCAGTTTGTTTACATTCGTCTGTGGCTCAGCGCTACATCATGTTTTGTTGCTCTGATTGGTGGCAGGTCTGTCTGAATGAGTCCAGATGCATTTTGATCTACTTCCACAGCCTTGAAAATGAGCCGAGAGATTCCAGTCCAACTCGCATTTGTGATTTGGTCTGGCAATGTCGGGCTACAGCTGATCATAAAAGTCATTACAGTTCATCGTCAGGGCGCCATCAGTGTCTGAACCAGATTTCATGACACTCCATCCAATATAGATATTTCACTCAAAATCAAAAATGTCAACCTCACGGTAGTGCTTGACAAGTAGTTTGGGCTTCACTCAAGTCAATATGAATGTCTCTACACGATCCATCAGACAGTTACTGACAAATTTCAGTTCGAATCAAAGTGGTAGAAATAAAGACAAAATAAAAAAGGAATAAATTGAATTACCTTGGAGTAGAAGTAGCGGCAGACCGCCTCCTGAGCCCATGGTTGGTAGTAAAACTCTGCTCTCCGCTCTTCTTCTGGGTTTCCTACCACATCTGTCATAGTCTGTAAACAGAGAACGACACATTGACACATAGCTTCATCTCGACAGGTCCTGTGGATGACAAATTAAAGAGCTTGGGATCCTGTAGGGATAAATAACATCTATCAAACACTGACCGCAGCTATGACAAACACATCAACACAAGAGCTCCCTTTTTTTTTCTTTGATAAGGCTGACTGTTGCTGTGAAAGCAGCCGGCGAGCTTTGAACTGAATTTGTTTCAATTTCACAGAGATTCGGCTCAACAAACACCACAGGTGGGAACAGCTGGTCAGCAGTTAACCAGTTAAAGTGTTTAAGAGACAGCACGGCGTCAATATGTAACACATGCCTCTCTTCCTACTGTTGCACCCTGAATTAAAAACCAAAGTCACTGTGCCACAGCAAACCTCCATAATACCAAATATCATTAACCTCAGACACGACCTCAAGGAATTTACTGAACTTAAAATTTAACCAGACTCAGAAATACCAGAGGGCATGTTTATAATTGTTGTTTTGATGTTCTTTTTTCTGATCCTTGACATTTAATATCTGACAGGAGCGGTTAATGAGATGTCAAGAGGCTGTACGTAGTTTAAAAGAATTTGTTTTTTCTTCGGAGATACTCTAAGTTTTTTTATCATCTGAGATTTTTTGCACAGCAGGAGTCTATTTTCTTGTACCCACTTTCCCATAACGACGCAGCCTTATTCTGCCTCGGTTAGTATTTTTCTACATTCCTTAACGCCCACAGAATGTACTTGTTGTTGCCGCAGTGCGTTCAAACGGGCTTTACAGGTTGTCAAGTCAATTTAAATAACCCAGATCACAAATTTGCCTCAATCTGCTTTACTAATCTGTACGGCATGACATCCTCCATCCTCAGACCTTTGATTCAAATGAAGAAAAAGTCTCCAGACGGGAGAAATGCCTTATCTAGGACGAGAAAAACATGCAAATGATGTGTGTACACAGAGAAATAAGATGAGTTAAATTACACTACTGAGAAGGAGAATGATTATATTAGGCAGGCAGGTGGAACAATAACAGCAGTAATGGCTAGAGTTTCTAGTTGAAAGCTACAAGTCACGTCCCTTACTCAAAATACTACAAGTCTTTTGGCTGTGTTGCATTCTGATGCATTGAAGCTACTGTCATTAGACAAAATGATACTGCGCTATCTTCTTATCAATGATGGATTTCTCTCTGAATTACTGCTTAACATTTCTACAAAAAGGCAGAACACTTACTCTCCTGAATGACAACTGCATATATCCCTGAAATTTTACCTGACTTTAATATTTTCTCTTATCTAAAAGCAACACAACAAAACACACAGGGATGCACAATACACTGACAACAGCTGTGATATATGGGGTTGGATACTGTTCACATTTGAACCAGTACCACAATCTGGAATTCGGTATCGGTACCCAACAGAATTTTTTGTCGGTGCTTAATTTTCTCTGTAATAAGAAAAATGTTATTTCATTTGTAAAAAGTAAGTCCAGACTTCCAGAGTCTGGTAAAAACTGGATCAGAGTGTTCTGCCCTCTGACGCTGTCCAGAGACTTAGCTTCCTCTTGCAGACTGCTGTAAGTTTATCTGTTGTGCGAGATGTGCACTAGAAAAACAATGATTCGCTTGCTTGGAAGAGCCAAAAACTGCAATTCATCGAATACCAACTTGAGGCTGGCTCCAAAACAAGCCACCATGTTAAAGTGCCCAACTTTACAGCAGAAATAAAAATGTTCACAGCCTCGTGCAAACAACAGTTTTGGTCTCTACAGCTAATTTGAACATTCATGACAACTGTGAGGAAGGTGACTTTTTATATAACACACCTGTTTAAATTTGATCAAGGCCCAAAATTAGGCATGATTAATGGCTTGACTGACAGGCAGTCTGTGAGGCGTCTACCGCTTGCTGCAGTCTGTGAGTCAGATTCACCCCTCGCTTCTCCACAGCTCCAGCCTCTCTTCTGAATATGGTCACTTCTGCTTCCAAAAAAGATGGCAGCAGCTGTCGTGCCGAACTCAAGGCTTCAAAATGGCAGTCCACAAACCAATGCCACAATAATTATGTCCATTATTTATAAAGTCTAAGGACACGGGGAAGGCTTCCATCTGATGTCTTTGGGGCTGCGACTTGGTTTTGTTCCATACTACTCTGTCATGAGTAGTCAGGGAATTCACATTCACAGGTATAGAGGTTAAGCAGTATATAGTAGTCCTATGAAGAGGTAGGTTTCATGTAAGAATACGGTTATCAGAGTAAGTAGGTTTAAAGACTAGTAACTTCAGAAATGTGGACTCTCTTGTGCAAGAGCTTGATTCAGTTTGACAAAAACAAATTAAAAGGTGGAGAAATAACATCAGATGAAATGTTTGTAGCAATTAAGACCTCACTTATTCATATTTAAGACCATTTAATGACTTTTTAGGCCTAATATTTACAAACCTGAGATTAAGTTTAAGACATTTCAAGACGTTTTAAGGACCAGCAGACACCCTGGGTAGAACTGAATTCAGATGGTGCCCTTAAAAGTACAGCGTTTCAGACTCAACCCTCCTGATACACCGCATTAGTGTTTGGATTTTTGTGTCGTCAAGCAGAGGCAACATGGTATCTGCAGTGATACTGGGCCACAGATAAAAGTGCTTCAAGTTCCATTTCAGTCGCGACGGATGGACTCACCTTGAGGTCTCTGCACTGGGACTGCAGCCAGTCGTTGATAAAGCCCTGAGGATCCCTGGCGAAACTCAGCATGAACTCTCTCTGGGTCTTCAGCTGGTTAATGGTCTCAATGGTTTCATGGATCTGAGAATGATTAAACAGAATAAAGCGAAGGGTCATCAATTCAAAGTAATTACCAGGGTTTTAATTAAATGTGATTAATTAAATGGAATATCACTGACACAGAAAAAAAGGGGATAACAGGTGTTTCCTCAATGACCATTTTACGTTGAGTATTTCTCAGATCAGCAATTCCAAGCTGCTTTAAACCACCGCACCAGCTCTAACGATTTTGTTTTTCAGAAGACACTATAAAACATACAGAGAGAACTAAGATGGGCTTTACGACAAGCTGTTTCTGATATCAAGCCGGCAGGAACTGGGTGTATATCAGTAATCGTCATCAAACCCAAAACAAAGTCACAAAATGAATGGCGCCTAAAAACTATAAACAAGCGCTCTCTATTTACAATGCCGACTTGTCTCAGAACAAAGACTACACAGGAGGACGTCTTTTAGGGGAATGGCTCTGTGTCTTATCACTGTGATTACAGCCATCCCAGCCAAGGTAATGGCTGCTCGCAGGAGGTCATGAAGACCTGACTGACCTCAAAACTGGATAGAAAAGAAGCCGGTAAGTCATAGGCAAGAATTTGAGAGAGCAGAAATGTGTGAAATTGCCCTCAGTAGGCTCAGAGGGGAAAACTACACTGTGGCTCAATGGAACAGAAGTTCAATAAAAAAAACCCCCCTCTCCACTCACATTGAATTTAAAGTGCTTAAAATGGCCTTTACATTGCTGCAGCAGATAGTTGTCACAAAGAATTAAGCTATTTCAAACTACATCACCCAGAAAATGTTCGACATTTGAAGTAAAAGTTTCTCCTAAGTCAGCAGGAATTTAGTTTAATAGACCCCGCACAAGAAAGCACAGGAATACAGCAGGAAACAGGAAACACAACTCCCTTTCATTACACAGGCGAGCTGGGCCGCAGCCTGTACCTTGTTGTCCAGTCCTGCTATTTCCTGCTGACTCGCTGTGGAAAGCAGGAAGGAGTTCATCTGGGTCTTCAGCGTGTCATCCACCTCCACGTCAATGTCATAGCAAGCAGTCTTCTTTTGGTCATTAGGGTCCACACTATAAAGAAGACATTTAGATTTAGTTAAGATGTGGATTCGTCACATTAGACTGGATTAACTGTGGATCTGTTATTAGACATTAAAAAGGATCAAGCAGTGTTCACGTGTGGTTTTTGTCACAGAGGGACCCTCACACATCACTGTGAGGAAATTACCTGATCACATGGTTGATGATGATTGGCTCTGGGGGCATCAAGAGTGCATGCAGACGCTGCGGGATCTCAGAGAACTTCATTCGCTGAGTCTCAAAAATCTGCAAAAAAATGAAACAAATACATTTGATCAAAACAACTTAATAATTAACCAATTTTAGACAGTTTTAAATTGAAAAACAGTATGTCCTATATAAACTGGAGCTAGCTCCAGCCGCTGCAGCTGATCACAGCCATTCTAGACAATGCATGTGGTGCAGCTACAACCGGTGAAGTTGTCCCTCCCAGCTCCCTTACAGTCAAGATGGCGGCAAAGATAACAAAAACAGGGAATAATTTATCTTCTATCATACCTAACTGTGGCGGATCGTAACACATTGGGTAGGCAATTAATCTGCAGATGCTCCGCTTCATAAAAAGACCTAACTTTTTTATGGATGTCAGTTTTCGAGTCACGACGAAGGCCAAAATGTGGCCTGCAGCAGATGGTAAGTCTCATCATTTCTAGCCAAGACGATGTCTGGAAACATTATGCTCTGTGCTTTTGACCTGCGGCCCCTACTGGCTGGTTGAGAGAAGTGAAGAGTCAGCTGTCACTGATGGTATAAGCCAATAAAACAGGTTTTTAACTATCTTGAATCACCTCAAACCATGAGAGATCTTTGAGCATACAGTCATGACACACCAAATATGAGGCTGACTGGTGGCAGTATTTGAGATCAGCTGCAGACAGACAGATACAGACACACACCCACATGACCAAATGCATGATGCCCCTCGGGTTTATGCCTGGTGGAGACAATTACTTATTTGTTAATCACTAACAATTTAACTTAGCTGCAGCTAGAAGGTGACTATCATGTTTTTGCTCCACAGCTCAGCCTCTTATGTGCCAGTTTTTTAAGTTCATATTTATGGAGACAAGTATATCACTCTGCTCTTCTTTATCTTAGGGTGTGTTGTACTGATAGTGTGATGAAAAAGGAGTGAGGAGCAAATCTGATCTTTTAAATTAATGCCTCCAGTTCATCTTTACCACATTTTAATTCACTGTTTTATTTACAAGAAACTGTAAGCTGAACTGGCATATTTATTTCATTCGTTAACTTTGTAGGAATTCACCAGTAACTTTCCACAATCCTGTTTATCTTGGCGCAGCAGATAAAAATGCACTGAGAAACCAGTCAGTGACCCACACAGAGCGAGAGTCTCCATACAAGGACAGGTAGAGAGACGGACTGTTCAACATCAAGAGCAGGAATCAACGAGGACTGTGACCATAGATCATTCCAGCTCCATGCAACGGCTACAGTTTGTACCCCTCAGGTTCAAAGAGCTGAGAGGCCTCTTGGTGTGTTATAAAGCAGCAAACTGAAACAGTAAGGCTTCATGTAAACTCCACTCACCTGCTGCAGATATTTGTCACAGTTGATGAACTCGCGCTCATGGGGGTCTTGGAGTTTGTGGGTCTTGACGTACTGCCACAGGGCCTGAATGATGACAGGTCTGGTCTGGGTGTGGATGCCCAGCATACGAGCCAGCCGAGGGTCCAGCTTGAACTGAGGTGGCTGTTTGGTGGATTAAAGCAAAGTGAATCTGCTATTAGATTTGATTATCCCGTTTATTCACCTCTCCACTAACTGAAAAAAAATCAATCTTGAGCGCCTCCTGAGAGGCATTTATTTACCTGGTAGTCGAGCATAAGCAGGACGGTGCAGCGAACACCCACATCACCAGGCCTCTTCACCTGGAAACCATCAGTCTCCTGGGTGGTGGCAGTCCTGTGCCACTAAAATGACGTAAAGGACATTTTAAAAACAAGTATTTGTATATATACAAAAGTATTTCTGTTAATCTATAAACTGATTCATTTACAAGGGCACATTTTCGACTGTCACTGTAGCAACAAACATCTAATCATTTAAATTCTAGCATTAAATTATCATTAAAGTACATATTATAAAAATACTGTTTGCCCCATCATAAAATTAGCTGCTCTTATTTAAGCAAGTCTATTCAAAGAATTAACCACAGTGAAGAAACAATACAAAAAAAGTCCAAAAACCGTAAAACTCACTTTGGGTAAAATCCAATTTAATTATAGCTGAAATAATCAATTTATTTTTTGTATTAATTGGCAAGTATTTAAATAATCGAGTGATTATTTAAGTCATTATTTAGGGTAAAATGCCAAACATTTAAGGTGGTTTCAGGTTCTCAAAAGTGAGAATTTTTGCATTTATTTTCCATACATAATTTTAAAAAGGGAATGTGAAGATGTGTCTAAGAGGGCTTTAGGAAAATATAACAGAAATATAACAAAAAAATAATAATATTTACAAATATTTTCTGATATATTTAAGACAGGACAATTTATCAATGAATCGAGAAAATAACCAGCAGATTAATAGGTAATGAAAGTAAAAGTTTGTTGCTAATTTTATGAGATTTCTAAAGCAGGAAAACTGAAAAACGACCGTGCTTTTGTGAAAATAAATAAGTAAATAAATAAAAGAATAAAAACACAATATATTATCCTAGGGAGAAAAAACAGGTTAGTATCTGCAGACGTACATGTTCAGATACATAAAATAAATGATCTTACTTCCACAAGATGATTATCTGGACCATACAGGTCTTTGTCCAACTCAATCACCAGAGACTTGAAGAAAGAGGAGAACTTCCGCTTCTGTTTGGTGGCTTCATACTTGGACACGGCCGTCTTCAAAACAAAAGTAGTTGTTACTGGAAATATTCATGCAAGCAATTTTGTTTAAAATTGTTGTTTTGTGTCAGTGAAACATAAAACTTAAGTGTAAAGGCACTTGTACTTTGGTTGGTTATATTTGTCAGTTTTAAATTCAAACTACTGTTACAGTAACTTAAAGGGATAGTCCAGATCTTATCAGTCCCTTCAGGATTTCATGGGCTGAAGGGAGTGCCTGATTTCACAAAAACTGTGACACGTTGCAATATGTTTAGGCGTTATTTTGCAATTAAATTATGGGAGAAAATGAAAATTGTAAAAATAGTTGTGATGCTGTCTTGAATTAGGAGCCTAACAGAATTCCAATAGAATTAAAAATATATTTGTGATGTGGGGGTTGATGGGATGGGCGACAACAGCTGTTCGAAGCAACACTGAATGAAGGTCTCGAGAGCTGTTCTTCTCCTGCTCTCTTTGCCCCATTAGCATGCGTTAACACAGCAGCAGTTGCTAACATACAACACAGGGCTGTTTCACCGTCCCTACAATCTCACACCACCTTATCGGCTCAACTCTGTTGTCAAACTCATCAAAAAACATTGGGTGACATTAGCCATGTGATGCTTAGTTATCCCTGTCACTGTGTGTGTGCCTCTGTCCCAAGTGTAGCAGTAGTCTCATGAGAAAGCAAGAGAGAAGGGCAAGGAGGGGCTGAACAAATCAATACAATGAAATTAGTTTTGACCCATTTTAAAATAGTCAAATTTGCGGTAAGATAGTGGCGATTGGACAACATTGGCCATGCAGAATTCACAGGGATTGGCTGTTGCGATCGCCAATATCCTGGAGGGACTGTACTTTGAGATGGGGTTGTATGAGGTCCTTATCCATAGTCAATCTAGATCGGTACACCCCAAGTTTGGAGAAACAACATAGAAGCACATCAATGTACTGCTGTGGATCGGGGGTGGGGGGGCAAGACGCATTTTAACCACCAACACACAGAAAGAAAAAAAAAAAAAAGCTTTAGGTAGAAAATTTTCACCATTTTCCCGAGGGTTTTAAGGGTTAGTTTGGATTCACCAAAGTCACACAATGACACATACTCTCCGATCAAGGCAGCAGTAGACCAGCATCCCTCATTTTCAGGAGGGGATTAGAAAAACGGCTCCAATTGCCCGTTGGAATGGCTGCCTGCGGCAAGGTAAAGTGGTGAAAATATTCTTAATATAGTGTACGCTTAAGCTGTTATTGATTCTTTTAGGAGGCCATAAAACATTTTGCTGCTGACCCCATTTACAGCAGTTCATTTCTTAGCTTCAGGGTCAGTACTTCTGCCTTTCTCGGGGCACACCGACCACCATCCCCTGCATGTAATCCACTGACTCTGGATAAGAACCGCATATGACCACACATCAAAAGATCCGAACTATCCCTTTAACTCTTAAGCCATAAATAAATACTGTACACGCAGAGAATGTTCATATTTTAGAAAATCAAACCAATATATTTTGATTAAAGAGCTTACATCTTCCAGCAGACGCCCCTCAACACGTAGTTCCCATGATGCAACTGTGCCTTCTCCATCCTCAGCGTCTGGCTTTGCAGGGTTGAAGGTGTTTGATATGAAGATCCGAAGCTTTCTCTTTTGCTGGAAACAATCAATCAGACGAAACTTTAAAATGATGTGCTATCATTCACTTAACGCCGACTTGATGTCGACACTGATAATCAACGCAGGAGGTCAAACTTCTAAACACAAGTGCCGGTTAAAATCCCACATGTCAAGTTCTGTTTCATTCCATCAAGTCAATTTTTCTCAGGGGAAAGATAAGATAGCTTCGCAGTGACAGCTTGAGGCTCAATTTAAGATCAGATAAATGTGTTGTCGGCTTTCAGCTGTTATAAAATAAATATCTGTCAGGCGTGTTGTCCACCTTCAGTGTGCTATCTTCTTTTTATCCACTACCACATAAAACAAACTTTGGAACCAACAATCTTCATTTATTTTCTGTAAAAACATTTAAACATAGCAGCATCAATATGTTACTTAAAAAATCTACCTGGTAGTAAGATAGTAAGATAAAAAGCCCAACAAAAAAAACCCCACTCTTACCTCTACACTTATAATGCTGTAGACATTTTTACAAGCCTTTACTGAATGACATTACTTTTAAATGTCGAGTTACAGAGATGGATGGAGGCACCTGGGGCTTTGAATGGCTTTGAAATTAATTTCCCATCTGAACCGGAGTGATTGAGGGATTCCAGGAGTGAAGACTTTAATTGAACCGTACCTTAATGGGCCTCTTGAGGGCCTCCTGAATGTCCAGCCTCTTGCGCATGATGGTCTGATCCAGCTTCCTCTCGAAAGCCAGCAGATCCATGTAAGCCTGAGACTCTGGGACCAGTTCCCTGATCTGGGAAACGATAAAAGACACTGGTGATCACTGGTGAAACATCAAATGAGTACAGCAGAGCAACACAGTCAGTTTTCAATTGTATGTCCATCTTTATTAACCGTTTTGAGAGCATATCTATCAACCTAAAGCCCCTGTCAAACAGATGTTAGAGCGTTTTTTAGCTTCTGTTCTGTGGTGCTTTCAGGTGAAACTGAATTCTTGAGCAGTGCACAGTTACAAGAGGGATTTAAATCAAATCCTTCGCATTTGGTTGGATCACTGAAAGGTGGTGAGGGTTAGAGCTGAGCACAACACAGCGCTACAGTGGAGTCAGCTGCTAAACTGACTGCTGGCTCCACACACACATCCCTCACCGATAGATCAAAAGGAGAACAGACAAGGGAGATGAATAAAATCGACCTCCGCCACATTGCTTTGTAAATGAAAACAAAGGTTTTGTCCAATGATAGCCAAACACACTCCTTTCCTATGTCTCTCCATATTGCTCTGTTAGCTACTACAATGTTTTTTTATATGACTGGTGTGGCCAGCTAGTCGCCCAAAGTCTCATTTGTCTGGATACATTTTGTTAACACCCTGCAGGATGAGTTATCAAACATTTGAAACTGTTCTACCTGGTTTTAAAGAAGGAGAAAAGAGATATATTTGGCATATAACAAGAGAGAAATGATCAATTAAAACAGAGTTACAAGATTAAAACTGGGAAATTACATGCTTCACACTTTTTAATAAGCTGTCGTGACAAGAATATGACAACAAGCAAGTGTAACTGCTCCAACAACTTCTACACAATAACATTACAGTCTGAAACCAACGCTCTGCCTGAGGCCTTATGGTCTCACTAATCTGCAATTTACATCTCAGGAAACTTTCCCACCGGTTAATAACCTATGACAACGCCAGTGTTACAGATTAGACAAGACATTTTACAAGACAAGACGTTTGTAGATGATGCTCAATAACTGTAGGGCGCAGTTTTAAGATACTGCTAATGCTAACTGAGTATTTCCTACTACCGCAGCTTCACATTAAAGCATTTAACTGGTGAAACATGGGTTGACTTTCATAAGGAAGTATTCATAAGAAATGCAGCGTAAAAAAATGTGCCTACAAAACAAGACACTTTGTTGACAACGGATCAGTCTGACATATTGCACTGAGTTTTGGAACAAGTAAGCTGTTAGATGTTGGCTGCGGAAAACAGGCTGCACACCTCCAACTTCTCAGTGGTGTAACCAACTTTTCCCTCATTAACGTTAACAGATTCCCTTGGGTTTGAATCAGAAATATTTCCAGTTACACACCACATCCTCTGCCATCGTCTTGTTAATCTACTCCTCTTAATCTTGTCACATTATACGACTCCTGCCACGGTGTGCTGCTGCTATTTGGAGCCCCCACTTCCAGTTCAGAACTGTAGCATTCGCTGTCGGACTAAACGTTGATTTAAAAAAAAAAAAGAAAAAAAAAAAAAGAAAAACAGCAGTGGGGGAGTTGGCCCAGTAATTTAGTCCCAAACCCCTTGTAAATCCAGTTACACAGACTACCATGGCAAGTCTAGGGGGAAAGCAAATTATAACTAAAAACTGGAGTAACCCAGGCGCACCCTCTTTTCAGGAATGGCTCACAGAGTTGGCAAAAGTGGTGTTTACAAATAAATTTATTTCAACTCTAAGGACAGTACTAAGAAATACAGTATGTAACTATACGGGGAGACTACTTGGAATACATCTTGATGTGCTAATGTGGACAGATCTGTAAGTTAAGTACACACCATTTACTTAATATTCGCATACACCACATTTATATACACACTCTTTATGTTTCTGACAATCAATTTGTTGCTTGTAAGTTAGATTATGTTGCATATTAATGGGGTTTATTTTTTTAAATATTATTTTTTATATGGATTTGTTTCATTTGTTGATTAAAATATGAAAATATTTATGTAAAAACTACAAAATACAAATTACACACACAAAAAACATGCTGAAACAAAAGCTGAAGCTACAGTAGTTCTGTGTCAAGCAGACTTAAGATAAAAACACTACTGTGCAGCAGCTTGATACAAGGGTATAATAAAGAAGTGGCTGTACTGAACACTGGATATTATGGGAATAAAAGAGTGTAATAAAAGTCAGCATGACTGCAGAGAGAATATATGTCTCATCTGACAGTAGGTATATTTGAGAGCTGGGAGTTTCAATTTTAAAAATATGCGAGAAAACATTCAAAATGGGCCTGACGTGCTCAAATATAAAGGAAATGAATACATTCAATCAGAAAAGGTTATTAACGCAACATCTGTCGGGGTAATATGGAAAGACAGGATGCTGATGTTAGAGAGAAGTGTAAGAAGATGAATTTAGCGAAGTGTTACAGAGGTTTTTTTGTGATCCGTCATGGACACCAACACACTGGCCAGGAGTAAGGCTGCCTAAAATGTCAACCAACCCCCAGTGTTTACAGTCAGTGCACTCATAATCTGCCTGCTTTAAACAGGGTCCTTTAAAAACTGCTTCCCTCTGTTTAGCGCTCCCTGAATTAAAATTAAAATGGACAAATGCAATCACTCTCTCAAGGCCAGGATTAATGGATTTCCATTGACTGCTGTGTGATTTACACTCACCCTCTGAGGTAGAATTTTATCAGCCATCTTCTTCTTCTTTGTGCTGTAAAAACAAATTATCCAAACAAGGTAGGTTTTAGTGCGAGTCCAAGCGGAGCAATGCTGGATTTACATATTCACAATAATTCAGTCCCTGACCTAAAGGGGCCAGCGGGAGCAGGAGCCCACAGGTCCAAAAGTAAACACAGCAGTGCAGGATATACAGATTTTACTGTGATGTGGGCAGTTGGTATCATCTTATGTATAAAAGACTAAGGCTGTCATGATTGTGTTTTCACTGTGCCTGTCCAAATATAGTGCCCCGTATACCTTTCTCTCGCTAATCAACTTGTATTCTGTCTCCTTCGTCTGACACAAGCTGGTAAATCTGTTACAAAAGTTGCGTCTAAATGTCAATAATAGGGCTCTCAATTATTCTACCGCTTATTTTCTCAATTAATCTACTTGGTTTATAAAATGTCAGTGCAAAATGGCCGTCACAATTTTCCCCCAGTCCAAGATAATTTATTTAAATAGCTTATTTTGACTCCAATATATTCAAGATACAACAACATAAAATAGAGAAAAGCAGCAAATCCTCACATTCAAGGATGACTGGCTGCTTCGCTCAAAATAAAAGACTATAATGAAAAACCTATTATCGAAACAGATGCCAATTAAATTTCTGTTTTTCACATTTCAATTAATCGGTTCAGCACAAAACTGCTGTTCCAGGAGTGTTCCTTGTAAGTTTAAAGACATTTGATGAGGCCAATTTAGAGTTCACATCTATTAAAGCATTTCTTTATACAATAAAAATAATAACTATTTTCCCCATTTAGAAATGTCCCTTCTTTGAACCTGGGATGGGGGGACAGATTTAGGAAACATTGTTTTGGATGGCAGTGATGATGGTCGGATGGTGTGTCTGAGAGAATGGGCAGCTGCAGGGCTCAAATTTCAAACCCATGGAGACTTGTGATCACAATCAAAAAGCCATTTTGTTCTCTTTACAGGCTGATATCTCAACACCTCCATTACAGATCAATGCTAACACAACAAAGCACATACTTAGAGTTTATCTCTAAATACTGACTGTCCGTATAAGAGGGGACAACTTACTGCTGGTTGCGGTTCTGCTGCTGAACCTGCTGGATCTGTTGGGGGGCGGGCCTCTTGCGAGATGGGTCCATCACACCAGGCATCACAGGGCGAGACACTGGGCTGTTGCCATATCCTGGCGGGCCCATGGCTGGTCCCTGCGGGGTCATGCGACTGGATGGAGGCATGCCCGGTCTCTGCAGAGAAAATATAGCAAAAATGATTATTTTTCTCCTCATAAAACTTCTGAGAAAAGACTTTCAGTACGTTTCTTTTCTATTTTACAAGTTGCTTCACAAAGTCAGCAAGTCTGCAGGTATTTGATTTATTGGGGTTTGTAGATGTCAAACTGTCAATTATCATTCTCAAAGGAATCTAGTCTGTGCACAGCATACCTTACATGTTTTCTGTATACTGTATATACTATAGGCAAAGCTAGCTTAGCAAACCTCGACATGTTTGCCTCCTTATTCCAGGTTCAGTTTAAGAAGGTGTTGTACGGAAAATAAATCAGCAACTATTGTGAAAATCAACTGACCTTTTCAATTTTATTTCAAGCAAAAACGCCAAACATCTGAGAGTTTTTAGTTTCTCAAATGTGACGATTTCTTGCTTTTCCTTGTCTTACATTATTTAATACTGTAAATTTGCACGTTAGACTGTTGGCCTGACAAAACAAGACATTTGGAGACATCACCTTTGGCATAGAAAATTGTTACAGCCATGTTTTTACTGTTTCCTTCCATTAATCGAGAAAACAATCTGAGGATTAATTGCTTATGAATTTTATTTATGAAATTTAGAAAACAGTAGGGCTGCACACTATGCTTCAGATAAATAACTAAAAATAAATATGATGATGTGATTTTCACTGGGGTCTGTACCAAGAAGCATGTTCTCTTATGTCTGGAATATGATTTGTGGGATGGGGCATCTCTGTAGTACCACAATGCTTCATTTCTAATGGTATGTTGTGACACCCTCCCTCAGTATGAAAAAAATCCTAGCTCCTGTGATTTGGATACTGCACTTTGCCATTACATGATTTCAATAATATTTCAATTAATTGTGCAGCCCTAGTCATCAGGACACGACATCTCAATGGCTTTCTGCTGAAACATGGCCAACTGTGCCGAAGGTTCACTGCTGACAATTTAACCCCGGGACTCTCTAACGATGGGTGAGGATTATTAATCTGTGGCACCACCCAAATTGCATTTTTTACAGCTATAGTGACTGATCTAATGTGTTGGCTGCCTGAAACTACAGCGCACAGCATCTTGATTAATGTTTCACAGAATGATACATGGCTGTATCATCAAAGACACTGCGAGCCCGGTTGGAAGTAGGGGTGGGGGAAATTTCCAATTCTTAGATGCATCGCCATTCGGATGTGGACGAATCTGAATCGATTCACAAACGTCCAAATTTCTATTTTTTAAATCTTTTATTTAGAGTAATACAGAAGGTTTTAAATAATGTGGAACTAAGAAGTGCGGTACGTGTCATTTCCGGGACACTTTGGGATGCGCACCTGGAGCAGACACTCCAACACGCGCACAGAGGAAAACAAACATGGCTGACCGCTACCCACCTCTTCGTGAGAGCTGAACAGCTTCTTCTAATTTAAAAGCAGATGTGTGGAAATACTTCGGCTTCTACAACGTTGACGGCTGAAGTGAACTGGACAAGAGCCACGTTATATGTAAGCTGTGTCGTGCTAAAATAAAATACTTTGGCAACACAACAAACATGTGAAGCCATGTAACTCGATTCCACCTGACGGAGGAGTCAGGTGGAATCGGCAGGAGTGGCGCTACCGACCAGAGAACAATCGAGGAAGCAATTAGAAAGCTGCCACCCTCACCGGAAAAGGCGAAGCGAATTACAAAGGCCATCGCGGCATTTATTGCCAAGGATTTGCATCCTTATTCTGTCGTGGAAAATCAGGGATTTCGAGCACTGCTGCATACACTGGAGCCCAGATACACCATCCCATCTCGACGCTATTTCTCCGACACTCTACCATCAAACCAAAACAGAAGTCATGGCCTCACTGTTGAAGGCAGGCAGGTAAGAACGCAGTTACATGTGATGCGTGGACGTCTGTTGCCACCGAATCATTTGTTACTCTAACTGCGCATTTTATCTTGTGATTTAAGATACCTGTTGTTACCTTTGGTTCCATACAACGAAGTTGTAACTTTCCAGTTTGCACGCATTTCCATTTATATGTTTAATAAAATATAATGGAAATGAATTCAACTCTTATTACAAATGCACTGTTTTTAAAAATTGCAAGTGTTGAATGCTTATTCAGTGAGACAAAAAGAAGTGTGTGTTGTGAAAAAGTGCATCAATATACATACATTAAAGATGCATCAATAATCGTTTTATAATCGAATCGTAGCCCCTGAATTGTAATCGTAATCGAATCGTGAGGTGCCCAAAGATTCCCACCCCTAGTTGGAAGTCTCAAAAAGAGGAATCAAAATAGAGATAGTCATGAGCCCCTTTTCCACCGCAGGAACTTTAATCATTTACCCAGGATTTTTTTTTTTTTAAAAAACTCAGCACGTTTCCACCGAAATTACCCGGGGAAAAAACTTCCCTCAACCCCAAACTTTCCCTGGAAAAAATACCTAGTAGGGGGGTAGGACTTTGTGCTAAAGAATGCTGATTGGTGGCTGCAAACCTTATTTCATTGCGACAAGCTTCACTTTGTTAGTGTTTTGATTAAGGATGGGTACCGAAACCTGGTACTAAATTAGCTCCGGGGCTAAATTATCAAAAACTATAGTATTGATAAGTGCTAACGGTATCAGTTCTTTTATTGGTACTTTTTCACATTTTGGTTTAATTCATTATCATCCTGCAGCCTCTCCTCTGCGCTCCGTCCACACACACGCCTACACGACATGGTAACCGGTGAACAGCAGAGCGGTCGCAGTGGAAACGAAGTGAAGATACCTCGAAAATTACTCAAGTTGACGGCAGCTATACTTGTCACTGTAAGTGACATTAACCCTTAGCAAGGAAGAAGCCAATACTTTATCAATACGTGTATTCAGCAAGCACAAACAGATAAATATGCAGACAGCGATATTCAATATGCTCTGTCCACAGTCTCTCATCCACTGACACTAACAGTATGTCTTACACAAGGACAGCACGCTAGTTCAGCTGATAGTGAATTGTTACTAATAAGCTCTATTGACAGCTGTCCGTATGTAGACTAACTTAGTTTGACACTCATCTTAAAATACTTTTACACTTAGCTGCTGGCTGAGACAAACAGCCCCAATTCTTTCTGCCAGCACTTATGTTACCATGTTACCAGCCAACAAGCTGGCGGAGCTAAATACATGGAACACACCGAATCATCTACGTCATCAGCCTGATTCGAATAAATTCAAATTACCAGGAATTCTTTTACCCAGATAAATAAATTCCTGGAAATAAAAGTTCCTGGAAATGTTGGTGGAAAAGGGGCTATTGACCTAGAGATACACATCAGTCACAGATGTCAAAGACCCTGCAGGTTGAAAGTATTGAGAGGAAGCAAGTGAATCTTCAGTGACATCAGTAGACATCATTGTGCCTCCTGGGGTTAATAAAATAAGCTAATTACAGAGGCAAATTAGCAGATAATCAAATTAATAAGGTCTGTATTTTATTTCTACTCTGTGGGTCCATGAGTTGTTGGGCGTCTCCAAGGCTCCAAATTAGGGGTGTAACAGTTCACAGAGGTCAGGCTTCGGCTCTTACGCCAGTTAAGGGGTCACAGTTTTATGCAAGTCTGGTACAGCAGGGGGAAAAATGCATATGGGTCCCTTTGGTTGGATTTATTTTGAACAGACGATAGTGTCAAAGACAGACACAATCCTCCCACTGGCAACTTTGGTAAACTATTACATTTTTATTATAATAATAAGAAACATTTCAAACTTATCTGTATTACACTTTAAAAAAATCCTTTTCAAAAGGCAAGTGGTCACAACAGTCTACAAAACTGAAAAGCATATCTCATGCTATGAAATGGAAAATACCAAAATGCATAAACCAAGTGCATTAGGAGGAGTGTATTCATTAGTTCCACCTTGGTTATATGGAAATGTAAATGCCTCCAGTAATAGTTTTATCACGTTCCTAGTGATCGGCACATCTGGGTGATGCTTTCGAATGTGTGTTAATATGTTGCATGTATTAACATTCACATCCCCTCCAACAATGAAGCAAAACCGTCACACTGCCCTCAGTGTATACACAACTTTCTCTGTTTAGGCTCACCAGGAACCTGAAGGCGGGTTTTTGAGCTCCGGTGTTTCATTTGCCCTCACCATAGTGTAACTGACGCGGACGCCAATCAGCTTGCTGTGCTAACCGCAGAAACAGTTGCTAATGGTGTGCAGCTGAATGTTTCCAGGCGGAGTTCATGCTTGCAAACTCTGGTTTCACACCACGTCTATCAGTCTACATACATACTGTGCATACGCATGCACCGAACCATGACAGTCTGGCACGAATACATGAACCATTACAGCCCTGGTCCCAACATGAAAGAGTGCAGAACTAGGGATAGACCGATATGGATTTTTTAGGGCCGATGCCGATACCGATTTTTTTTCATCACCCTTAGCCGATGACCGATTATGGACTGCCGATTTTCTTGAGCCGATATTTGGGGCCGATACTACTTTTGCTCCCTCAATTTACATTAAAAAAATAACACAATGATAACAAATATTACAGGTCTCAAGTTTAAAATAAGAAACATTTATTGAACAGTAAAAAATACTAAAACAAGATGGAAAGTTGAGGTAGAGCAGGTAGAATATTATTATTATTATTATACATTCAAATAAAAAAAAGAGTTCAGTGCTCTTAAATCTTCCAGTAATGTCTTTATAAAATAAACAAATATTTAAGCTGAAGCATAAATAAAACAACAACTACTGTACACAGTATGATTCAACAGCTTTGTTCAACTTAACCACATACTTTCAAATGAAAAAAAGTGCCAGGGAAAAATAAATCCGCTAACCCATGTGCGTATCGGCCGATGCCGATACAAGTAAAAAAACTCAAATATCGGCCCGATATATCGGCCGGCCGATGTATCAGTCTATCCTTATGCAGAACACCCCTATTGTAGTAAAGCAAGCTGTATTTCCAAGGTCAACGTTTAAACAGCGCTTTGGAGGATAAAAGTCTACAATTGTGTCATCCTTTCAGTTCAGTCTAAATGGGTAACGTCGGTCTGATGTGACGGTTGTGTTTGCTCCAAGATGTAATATTAAATTAATTTCACAAACGTAAACGTGGAAGCCAAATATTAGCAGCACATTTTCTGATGCAAAGCTTTTCATTTCAAACTCATCAAAACTAATTTTCATTTTCAAGTACAAGAAGAACAAATAGCATTAGCAGCTCCATTCTGTTTACAGATATTACAAAGCCTACTTTTTCAAATCATCAAATTCACAGACTTTATCCTATAAGAAGAAGCAGCAACAATTTGCATGCTGGCCCCCACAAACATGTTAACACAAAACAAACTCCACTTCCAACTCACCACGCCAAGCGCTAAGACCTCAAACAGGCGGCTTCGTGTATTTGACTGCATGAGTGCAAGTGAGAAAAGCAGATAAATGACAAATCACTGATTGCAGCTTTCCCTCCTGCAGTCAGTTCAACAAATGAGTGAGATGAAGGCAGAACACTCCTCAGCATATGGTGGAGGGTGGAGGGGAGAAAGAGTGACGGACATTGACTTGTCAACAATACAAGCTAGATGAATGCGCTCTGCCTTTTCCACACAGCGCAGTGTGGGCAGAAAGGAACTGCATGTCGATCATTTAGTGCTCTTTACACTATACATCAGCGCAACCTTGGTTTACCTGAGAACAACAGGAGTTCTGCAGTATTCAGAGTATGAAGCCTCTTTGACTATGTTGTGAAAGGCTGCTTGTATGAGTGAAAGCACTCAAGGACACGGGAGAGAAAAAAATGTACCATCCTTTCACTAAATCATATTTCAGGTTTGCCAGTAGCTAAGCAGCAAACACTTCAATTGCTGCGGATATAAAATAAATGACTTTCTATCAAGATTTAAAATACAAATATGCCTTACCAAGAAACATCATAGTAGATCAAAACGTACCCATGATACAATACAATTGTAGTGAGCTTGTAAAATAATACACTGAGCTACAGATCAGAATATTGAAGTTATAATCTGCCAGGGTCTATTGACAAATCTACAGGATGACTTGAGGAACTGTCAGCATGTATGACAGGATAACAACAGTAACCTCTCAGTGATGTTTAACCATGTTAAATGCATTGTGAATATGGATCAGCACAAAGAGTGATAAAACCCCATTTTAATGTCAAACAGTTGGAAACATCTGCGCTTATGCACTCACAAGAGCATGCTGTGAAATCGGTCGCTACATGTTTTACACAGAGCTGAAATTACTTGCTCATCAACAGAAAAATAATCAGCTATTTTGATATAACTGCTCCCAACATTGCCTCATTTCATGTCCTCAGCTCTTAGGATTTGCTGCAATTATTGTGCTATAGGATAGTAAACCGAATATTTTCAAGTTCTGGACTGCTGGTCTCACAAAACAAGCAAGTTGAAGGCATGGAAGTCATTAGTGCAGATTTACATTTCATATAGACACCAGTCCAAGGGTGTTACAACGTTATACATGGGCTCCATTATTCAAAAGTCTTATCCCATATTTTTTTATTCTTATTGCCTTCATTTTGCAATGCACACAAAACTCAAGAAGGAACTCTGCTACAATTATTTTGTGTCAGTCCAATGTCACCAGGATAGTCCACAATTGGGCGGGGAAAGCCAAAAATTCACACCTTCATTTGGTTTGGTTCACGTTGACACTGCACTTTTTAAAGCGGAACAAACTGCCTGGACAATGTCACACAGTTACAACAGCTGCTCGTTTGGGGGCGGTATTGTCGGAAACAACCACTAACCAGGAAGAAAAAATGCATGAGGAGGAAGAAAACCCAGCTCATCAATTGGCCAGGACCGAAAATGGGAATCCATTGTGGGTAACCACACGCAACTGCAATAAATAGTCCTCTGACCATTTATCAATAAGCGCCTGCACCTCCTCACTACTCCACGTCTACCCACGAGACATTTTCCAACTTTTTCTTTTTTGCCTCTGCTTCTCCCGGTTCGTGCTGTTGGATTTGTTTTTCCTACCCAAAATGCACTGCGCTCTACGTCACTTCCTATCTTTGGTTCACTGGATTGTCCATTTGCATTTCCCACTGTAAGTGAACCGAGACCCCCAGTTTTCACGCTTGTGTGGTCCGCACCAGAGTTCAAATGAGCGTTCACACGACTCCAAACAAACTGAACTATCCGTGGAAGCGGACCAGGGTAGGTTTAAAGCGGACCAAATAGCGCCAGTGTGAATACGTCCTTAGTTTGATTTAATATTTTTGACTTGATTTCAAATGTATACAAATTCTCCTTCCTCAAAGGGGCATGGTTATTTTTGGATGCTCGGAAGACACTCCTAGGGCTGGGCAATATAGACCAAATACCTCGACATCAATATCGCAAGGATATTGTAGAATTGACTTTGAGTGCTTTCACAAAATATATACACAATGAGATTTGCCATAAATAATTATCAGCAATGTGGAAATACTGACTAAGTGGGTAAAAGTAAATAGAACAGCTAAAACTGTCTCATAAGTTCAGAAAATGACATCGCTTTACTGTAATACAGCCTTTAAAACCAGGACAACACTAGTCTCGTGACAATGGATATGATATCGATATATTGCCCAGCCCTGGACAGTGCTATCACTTTTCTCTCACATAGAGTCAGCTTTGATGATGGGAATGCTGCCAGACAAAAAAGATTTCTAAAGACAGTCACAAGTACATGTTTTGATACACATTATGTAAAAAATAAATAAATAAAAAACAATTTTTAACAACTTGAAATGACTCCATACAGGAGAACGTTTGGGTACAAAATTATGGCTGACTTTTGTTTGTGTTCATTGTTAATTTATACCTGTTTCTAGTAAGAGTATTTTGTGTGTCTGTGTGTTTCAGCATCTGCTAAGATCAATTGTGGCTTTAGGATAGGGGAGATGAGCATTAGTCACCATTTTCAAACATTTTGAAGGCCAAACACTTAATGGATAAAACAATAAACAGATTATTAGTTAATGCAAATAACTGTTGGATGCAGCCCTAGTTTGATGACAGTGGCAGACCTCTCAGTGTATCACGTTTCCAATGTATTGTGCTTGTTGGCCACATCCTCCATGGCGAGCTATAACTTAATATGATCTCAAATTTGGACTTATATCATCATTGAAATACCACATTATGCCTATGAACAAGTTTACACTCCTGATACGAATGGATAAACACTGAATGCATGTTTTCACCACACTAGAAATGCCTGAGTGTCTGTTTAGTGACCACCTGGGTCCACTTAACTTGTTGTGTAACACTTTTACCAACCAGGTGGGACTGTACTAAAGGCAGGCGCTGCTGTTGCCTCTGCAGGGTGGAAAACACCAGCTGGCATGCAACAAACAGCCGAACACAAAGGGTGCAGTCGGGTCCTGGTTTGAGTCTCCTCTTCAACCTGAGAATCTGCAGTGATACAAACTGCAGCCAGTTCATTCAAAGACCACCAGGCACTTTAACGTTACTGCACCGTAAAGCCAACTTTTGAATATAACCAAAGCTTAAACTTTGTAAAGTACGATGTTTAACATTACAGGCCACCTTTATCGCGGTCTTTAAAAACTACTTAATGAGGTAACGGTGTTATTTAGCGAGCAAACTAAGAGAAACACAGTTAACAGCTAGCAACGTTAGCATGCTAAGCTAATTGGCTACCGTGACTAACTAGCTAACCTAAACGTTAGCGGGCGGGAGGGTTAGCAAATTCAAACAACAAACAAACTCCGGTAGTCACTCGAAGTGCTCGGTTAAAACGTTTCTGACGGGTGGGAACTTTTCGGCGGGGCTCCCGGCTGTAGTGAGCTGTGGCCCGCACCGGTGTCGGTGGTTAACGTTAGCCCCCAGTGACAAAGCAGCGGTAAGAGGCTTTGTTCTAGCGGACTGGCTAACGCGTCAGCAGCAAAGATGGAGTGATATCTCACCGGGTACCCAGGCCCGGGCATCGGGGAGCGGTACATGTGGTTCTGCGCAGCCGACGACGGCCCCATACGTCCAGAGGGAGTCCCAGGGCCCATGCCTGGTCCTGCGCCTGGTACCGGTGGTCCAGGTCCCATTGCTCCGCCACCACCTCCTGTCGGTGCCGACTGAAACCCCCCTCTGGCCGCCATCTCCTCTCTGAATGTCGCCGCCGGTGGAGGCACGGAGCTACCGCGAGAGCGAGAACAGAGTTTAGGGTGGTGGTGTGCGGCCCCTGCTGGACGGCTGCGGTACTGCAGCAAAACGCTACTGCAAGTCATATCTAAAGATGTAAAAATAAATAAATAAATAATCTACAGCAGTTAAAACAATGTCAAACCCATAAGTAAGTATGACTATTCTGAGATATAATAACTTACAGAATATAAAGCACAGAACATTTGTGATAAATGACAGATTAAACTGAATTAAAAATGAACAATCAAAGATGAGTAACAGAATAAATGATTGACAAACTCAAACTTAGTCACCATACATGATTTACATTGCCACTTTATGACTATGTTTATATGCACATGTATATGTATACACTATGCATAGGAGGGTGAAGTCAGGTAATGTGGGACAAATAAGGTTTTGCATCTTGGGCTGTTTAAACATTAGCAGCCAGTCACCAGACATGTCATTGAGTTGTTGCTACAAATAAAGTGCTCCAGGAATGAGTCCAAAACCCAGAAATTAAATAGCACTTTTGCTCCCCGTTCCCTCGTCTCAAAGTCAATGAGTAATTTTAATGTGTTTTTGGTTCGATGACTGAAATAAGGTCTGTGGTTAACACAAGCTTAAGAGACCTTCATGTTTTGTTCTATGACATAAAATGCGTCTGTAATACCCACTGAATTTTGAAGCTTTCATGTGTCTTAAAAAAAGGTGTTTGCTAACAAGTTGCTAAATGAGATTACAGAAAGTCATCATGCCGACCATGCTGTGGTAGGAATCGCAAATCATACAACCGTAGTGGTGTTGTTTTATATGTGGGGAGCAATGTTGGCTTTGTACATCTGGTGATTGCATTTGGGCTTCACAAATCATAAAAGCAGTGTTCATTTGTGAAGATGAAATTGCTTTGTGTTTATTTGTGGGCTTATTTTCTGCAATATTTCAAAATCTAGTGGAAAAATCCCACTGGCTTTTTGACAAGGGAACACGGTGACACTAACTTCGATGTCAGCCCACAGAAAAATGTCATCCCTGCTTTACATAAAACAATCAATTTGATTTGTCTGAGATAGCTAGGATGGGCAGAGCAATGACTCAAAAAATCAACTGGTCCCAGAACTTGCAAGGAAACCCATGTGGTGTGTTGATTTTCTCTTTTTAGTAATAAGAGTGCTGCAGCTAGAAACTAAGGCTATAACAACAAAACTAGTTTTAGAGTGCTGCATGTTTTTTAATGTTTGATTCATGGGAACGTGTTTTGAGTGAGTACTTAGAGCATGAGACAAAGAATTAAGCTAAAATAGGACATTTTACTGAAGTGAAGCCAACGTATTTTTAGGCTACCAAGTTCCATAAAATCCTGACTTATGCAACTGTGTGCCATCCTGTAATATTACAGTCATTTTAACTATTTTTATAACTTGAAAAGTATTGAGGATGATTCAGAGAGTCCATGTGTCAGCCACAACAGTGCAGAATTAGTCATCATTGTTACACACACACAAACACACGCTCATTGTAAACAGTATGACACCAGGGAAACAGGCAGCAAAAGAACAGGGAAAGCATGGCTAAAAAGTTGGATGATCTTTTGCTAAATAACCAGGGTTACATGAATGATTTAATGAATTAACAACCAAACTGATAAATGGATTTAATCATTTACAAATCATACAAACATGGCTGTCCCATTTTACCTGAACAGGTCATTGGAGTGAGGAAGGGTTCTCGATGTGTTTAAAGGTCCAAAGTTTCGAAATTATTTTACTTGGCAACACATTATCTTTATAGAAATGTAGCAGAGATCCATAACAAGTTATAAAGGTCACACTTAAGGTATTATTCAGTTTTAGGGGGGTTTCTACCAAAAAGTGCCCCACATTGCCTGACATCACCCTATATTTTATCTTTTGCTCTGCCATATGTATTTAATCTGAAGCAAGCAATTTTTCAAAATCACGACATTGAGACAAAATGTAGGTCAAACATGACTAAATTATAAAAATATTATTGTAATTAAAACAATAGTATCCACAGGCCTTTAATTGAAAACAAAACAAACATATATTTGACAAGCAATCAAACTAAAAAAATGAAACTATCCAATTAAACAAACCCTCATTATCCTAATTTTGTTTAATACCCAACTCTGATGTCAAATTATGTTACACATGTGACAGTGGCAACAGGTTCACTACTGCATTAAAAAAACAGTTTTTCTTTTAGTATACGGCAAATATGTCCACAGTCTGTAAACTGGTCTGTTCACTGACTGATAAAAATGTGTTGTTGTGTTGTGCAGCAAACCCAAACCAAACAACCCTCTCTGTGTTTGTCAGAGGAGTACCAAGAAGCTGAACTTCCTTTTGTTTGTAATGTCAGGCAGCTCATCGTTCTGTCTGACACTGCGACCTGGATAAAAACCGAGTGCAAACAGCATGTGGAGCGCACACAGAGAAGTGTGTCAGAATGTGAACCTCTGGATATTCCTAAGTTAATTTTGACCTTTGTAGTATGGTTTTAAAAAGGTAAATACATTGCAGCAATTCTGTTTTATTCAATGCTAAAAATCACTAAATATACAGCCCAAATGCCTGATAGGAGGAACACTGTTCTTTGAACATTTGGAGCTTTTATTTTATTAACTTGACTGCCTTGAAAGTCAGATGTACTCCCACTGAATTTCAACTCTCAGTTTGAGATATCACAGAAATCAGACATTGTAGTTTCTTTCATCACAGCAGGGGCTCATAAATTAGCAAATTAGCTCCCTTCTTCATTGTAAGCTGATCAGAATGACAACTGCAGCACCTCCACGCTGGATGGTTGTTGACCTGAAACTATGGCTGACCTCCTTTGAGTGCATGTCATCATTTTTATGTTTCATCTCCGTAGAGAGGCTGTTGAACCCCTGAAGTGGCAGTTAAATTAACAAGTAAACAACAAGTTTAAGAGCGCAGCGGCTGGCGTCCTGTAAGTCAGCAACAGACTCAAACGCTTTCTTGTTTCCAAACTTTGATGTCATTACACTTCCCTCCAATTAGCATGGAGCTACAACAGTACAAAACATGGCATCCCATCTGTTTGGATAGCCTGCTTGTGTTTGATCAGAGTGTGTGTGTTTGTGTGAGTGCATGAAAGAGAGGGAGGAGGGGGCATACATTATGTTTTCCTTGGAGCAAGGTGTAGTGAAATCCTCATTCACAGGACAGAAAAGTATCAGATTTGCTCCATTGTGATCCAAATCTCCAGAGAGGATTTTACATCCCGTGTGTGTGAGATGGCAGGTGATTAGGTTTATCCTCTCCGAGCTCGCTGACAGCCTAGATATTGAACAATAAGGGCTCATACTTTAAACAAATGAAAGGACAAATCGGGCGGACTCAAGTCTGAAATATAATACAGCGTCTCTCAGAGCTGAGAAACTTGACTGCGCTGTAATTATCAATCCTCTTAACGAGCAGAATGTAAAGTGGAGCCCAGAGGAGCCGAGCTGCAGCCTTATCTATGACGAACGGCTGAGCATCCTAATTGCACTGAGAGATCTGACAGGATAAATTTATACCAGAAACATGACTCATCTGACATGCCGGCAGGAGTGAGAGCCTGCAGTTAGGCTGGAGCTTCAATTCATTTCCGTACAGTATAGATCCAATAATATCAAGGCATCTGACACATCCTAAAAATCACAAATTTTTGGGTCAGTATTTGGGTTAATGTTAGCCTACTGTAGTGTAGCCTCTGAAACATTAACGTTATCTTCCTTGTGTGTTTCCACTTACTAGTAACGTTAACGCTGTTATCTAACGTTAGCACTGTAACCTTATTCTAAAACTCATCAGTCATCACTGACTCCGGTTGAGTTTTAAAACTCCGGGGTTGTGTTTGACTGTCTTGGTTGTAATGTTACGCTCGCTCTCCTCTTCTGTGTATCTAACGTTACCTATACGATACGATACGATGGCTTGTACCTGGTGGGATAGTTCAGGGCTTGTGCCCTTTTCTATCCATTGATGGTGCTGGTGGTGGCGGAGAGGTGGGAGGAGCTGGACTCTGGAGGGAGGAGGACGCATGTGGGGCAAGGCATGAAACACAGAGAGAGAGAGAGAGAGAGAGAGAGAGAGAGAGAGAGAGACGTTACCTTGCCAACGGTTACGTCTATCATCGTCTATCATAGACGTAATGAGGACATAATGGAGGAGGGGGGAGTAGGCCTTTGGAGGGAGGTGGAGTTGCAGGAGGAGGAGGATGAGACTTTGGAGGGAGGCGGGAGTTGTGGATGTTCAAATTTTTTCCAAGTGCTGTGTGAAATGCAAGAAAGGTAAGAGTAGCTTTAAGGGGTGTTCATGACAAGTATCATTCAGTCAGTTATGTAATTTTTAATGCAGCTGACATTGTTTTAGATGTCTGTGTTGTGACAGATGGAATAAAGCATTTAACACTAGACGCTCCAAGGGGGTCATTTTTAACTTTCTCACATTTTCAAATACATGTAACTCTAAAATAAAACCCCCTACATTTCTAATTTTCCTTCCTACATTTCCTTTTCCTCAAGTTGTGATATTATTCATGGACTGAATTTGGGGGTTGTGGGACAAAAAGAAAAAAATATATATTATTTTTACCTCCAACCGTGCTGTGGAGCACTGACAGCTTAATGTCAGTGACTGCTGGTATTGCTAAGCAACCGGATCAGTGGTGCAAATGCCCCATCCGTGCAGTTGTTTAGAATTTGTGATATTAGAGGCTAATATAATATTAGCTATAGACATGGATTGGCTATAGATTAGTAATTAGAGGTTTCCAGTACAGACGGGTGGATGTAGAGGAAGCTCTGGTTAAGCTCCAGACCATAGATGAGTTAGAATCAAATGAGGGTGAGATAATTGAGCCGTCATTTTCATCTGAGGAGGACTCCTCATCTGAGGACAAAGAGCTGACAGCATGAAAGAGGCCCAGGGTTCTGATGGCAGATAGCTAGTCCCACATCTCAACTTCAGATATCTATGACTCATCCTCAAAGAGCACATCTATCTATTTAAAAAGACCCCCTGGCCATTCTAGTGTTAAAACAATGTCAAACTTTGCATTAAAAATGACATAACTGACTGACACTTAATGATAACAATCATAAACATGTTCATGTTAAACATCATCCTTCATGTTCATGACAGGTTTTGTGTCACAGTTACGTAGGTGTCATGTCAGTCTTATGCACAACACTCCAAGTAACGTGGTACCAAAAATAACATTAACACTGGCTCAAAACAACTCTTTGTTACTGGGTGAAGTTCACCCAGTATTGCATCAATGTTACAGTATATTGACACCAAACTGAACAAGGTTTTAACCAGTGACTTTCAGTGTGTGTATGTGTGTGTTAATATAGTTTTTAAAAATGACACAACACTGTGCACTACATTAAGGAACTGTAAAACAAGACTGTATAATCTCCTTGTTGATGTAGATAACAAGATGTGATAATAGGATTAGGAGGAAAATTACCTCTGATGTGAAAAGATTTAGAGACTGAGTGTGTGTTCAGTGACAGCATGATTAAACTGACAGTTGTGGGTGAAAAACAAGGGCACGACAAGTCTCATTAAAATACAACAACAAGCATTAAAAGTTCCTCGCATTAAAACCGAAGCCCTCTACATCACATCCAGCTGTCTGGGGGTGATTAGCTGAGGGTGTTACAGCCATTTAGGAAGGGCAGGCAGTTTGGGATAGATCCCAGTAACATCTTTCTCTTATAGTGTCCTCAGATTGGCTGCGTGTCAACCAACAAAGTGGAAGCAAGGAGGGAGCAGTCATCTCTGATCTTTATATTGGGAGCTGAATGAGGGCAAATAATGATTTAACCTCATTCAGTTAGGAGACATGGGGGTGCCAAGATTTCTGGATCCACTAACAACATGTAAAACTGAATTAGGACTGCAAGCCTGCAGGAAATGGTTCCTAATGTAACCTAATTTTTGGAGAGATTTTTAGTTTGTCTGAACTCCCGCTGGTATTGCCACCTCCCACACACCCCCACCTGCTTTGCCCCGGAGCCTTATCAGGATGCAGCAAGCATCTTTTGCAGGATTTCTGTCACTGGCAGGCAGCTCTCCTGTATTCTGACCCTCCCCTGCATTCTTCTGAGTCACAGGACTGTCGCTCAGACAAAGACACAAATGCCAGCAGGAAATGAACAGCATCGTCTTTTATTTCTTGATTAATTTGTCTTCTTGGCAGGTACAACAGAAAATAATAAAACCATCAGGGGGCAACATCATGTTTCAGACATTCAAAACAGGAAAAATCTTCATCAGATGTTGAAGCTGGTTCCCGGGAGCTTTAACGCTTGTATATTAATGCGTGGTTACCAGCTGAGGTTTCTCCTCTGAATAATAAAAAATGAATGCACGCTCACATTTGATGAACAATGTTGATGTTTGGTTTCCCCGCTAAAAGAAATCATGAAAAAATCATTAGGTAAAAGTAAACTTCCTGTCCTAGAGTAACCCTTGGTGTCTGGTAGCAGTGGACTGGTGAGCAGCCGACTGAGCAATAAACATGATTTCAAGGCAGACCATGTTTAAGGGCGCATAACTGGGCTCTAATATTCACAGAGTCATGCATCACCAAGCCGCTTTTCTAATACAAGTGTGGCAGCTGGCAGCACCAGATGTACAGTAGAATACGAGAGAAGGAGCCGTCCAGAATGTGTGGCTGCTGGCTGACTGACAATCTTGATAAAAGTTGTATTGGCTGTGCAGGATATTTCTCATCCATCCTTTTGTCATACAGCAGCAGAAACTGTAATTACATTTCAAGCGTATGGAGCTCAAAAACACCAATGTTGTGGCTTTCAGCCGTAAAACTGCAATGCAAATGAATGGCTGAAGTAGATAAGTAATATCTAGTTTAATACCAGGCTCCTGCCTCCCCCCAAACCCTTAATGCTCAATGCTGATTTAATTCCGCAAAAATGTTGTATGGAGCAAAACACAAGATAAAATGTTGATTAGAGAAAATGGAGATAGCAAAAATGCCATAGATGAAGAGCAGAATGCCTAATCAGATTTTCTGAGAGCTACTTGCGATTAAAAATGAACATTTGCACAGTATCTGGAGTTGAAAAATACATTGCTTTCCCTCTGTTTACTCGTTCAACCGAACGGACAAATAAAGGCTTCAGAGAGGGAATTTACTGATAAGAATAAAACCTCAGAAGAATAACAATTTTCAAAAATGATATTTACATTTTATTTATGCTTTGATAACTAAATAGACCAGCCTTTTGCCTGGAAGATGGAGACAGGATTATCAGGCAATATCGAGTATGTTTTATATGAAAGAAAGAAAGAAAAAAAAAAAACAACCGAAAATAGTTGGATCAACACGATATTAATAATATGACAATATATCAAGAAGAATATTACGTTTTCTTTTACATCACCTCTACATACTGGCGGTATTGTGCTTTGATAAGACTTTTGCAACTAGAACACAGATACAGAAATTTTTTTTAACAACCCCACAAAACTCCAAGGATTTCAGCAATCAACTCCTGAAAAAAAGACCCACCTACCCTCGTCCTGCAGTCGAGATAAGAGTTTAATGAAGTTGAATAAAGACTCCTCGACTCGTCGGGCACATGTGGAAATGAAAAAAACAAACGGATGAGATATGAAATTAGGTGTAGCTCGCTCATCCGCTGCACAGTCAACAAACCTGTGTGGGTACTGATGAGGGCATGTGAGCCCACACACTTTCACACACATCCCTGTACTTCTATCTTTGTGAGGACATTCATTGACACAATGCTTTCCCTAGCCCCTTACCTTTACCATTACAACTAAATGCCTAATCGAAACCCTTACCCTAACCTAAACCCAATTCTAAGCTGAGCCTTAAAAACAAGCCTCAACGAAGCGGCAACCTCTGGGGCTGAAAAATGAAGCCAACGTGGAAGTGCCAAAAACTGCAGCTCCTTGAATGGCCACTTGAGGCTGGCTCCAGAAGGCAGTCAATTCCCATAGACCCCTGTGTTAAAATTTCTAACTTGAGAGCAGAAATGAACATGTTTACAGCCTGGTACAAAAATGGTTTTGGTCTCAATAGCTAATTATTTCCCCCATTCTCCTAACTCCTCTCATCCCCTCTCATCCAGATATCGTCACCTCTGGCTCCATATAAGAAAAAACAAGATTGTGACGGCTGAAATGCCAAACTTGAGGCTTCAAAATGGGAGTCCACAAACCAACGTACGATGTCACGGTAGCTGTGTCTATTATTTTATACAGTCTATGGTCTTAACCCTCAAATGGGCTTTTGAAGAAGTGAGGACTGCCCAAAATGTCCTCACTTTTCAAAGATGTCCTCACCGTGTTGGTTAAAAACGTGTTTCGGTCCCCACTATGTGGCAAGTACAAGTGCACATACGTTCTCACACACACACACACACACACACAGAAATATATTGAATGTATGATCTCCCTTTACTGTATATCATTGAGGCAAACTTGGTAATTATAATTTTTTATGAAACAATGAAATGAATAACATGCACTGGACAAGTACAAGCATGCATTTACATGATGAGACCTGAAATCATCACCAGTACATTTCAAATGGTAGACGATGCACCTCTACCACTACCCACTGCCACCACAAGCTGCCTGAACATCTCCCTGCGTACCCACCTACACCCACCGTGAACAAATACATTCTCGTACAAACTACACAGAGTCCAGCTGTTGTTCTATGGAGCGCTGCAACAGTTACAGATGTTGCTACATGTACAGTGGTGTAAGCAGTATGAATATTTGTCCCACTAGCAGGCCAGTGTTGTGTGAAACCATCGTGTTGTTGTTGCTGCTGTGTTATATAAAGGCATGGAGGGCTCTTTTTATGATCTGCTGTCGATGGTGAGATAGCTGTACATGTTCCCTTGTTTATTTTTACATTTTATTTTTTTGTCTTTTGAAAGAGAGGTCCGTGTTGGCGAGGTTCTCCTCCACGAGCATCCTTTGCGGCAGTATTCCAGAGGAAAACACAGAGACAGAAGAGTTTAGAGTGCTGCATGAGATGTTCTCCGGAAAATTGACAGATTTTTTTTTTTTTGTTTTTTTTAAATATTTGGGAAATCCTCTCCACTTGGCCTCGGGTGACAGTTCTTTGTCGTATATGATTTGTCCGGTTTACTCCCTTTCTATGTAAAAAGTGCCTCTGTTAGACTTTGTATCAGTTCCTCACACTCCCCGTGCTGGATAGTTCTTGTTGTATGGTTGGCTTTGGTTGCATAACACGCACTTCGTTGCTCCACCCGGGTCTGCTCAGCAAGTGAAGTCTTCAAAGTTGCCCTGTCCCGGGTGATGAGGTAGCATGTTGCCAGGATATGTCGATGGTGTACGCAGGTTCTCGCAAGGAGCCTGAGAGAGAAATGAGGACAGAGAGAAAGCAAAAGAAGGCGAGTGAGATAAAGTAGAGAGGAGGATAACGACAGAGAAGACAAATGAGCTGCGGGAGAGGAAGAATTGAGATAGAGGGGAGGCAAACGTGCAGAGGGGGAGTCATCACGCCTCGAGTAAAACAGAAAATAAAACGCATTTGAGAAAACCTTCAAGCCACAAACTCCCAGGAAAACATGAATGAGCAACAAGCCGGGCCAGAGAGGAAATAGATCCCTAAGAAATACTCTGGAGTTTTTAAAAAAAATGATGAAAATAATGAAGATGGATGGAAAGACTATCAAGTACAGCAGGAGAGCACAACAGTGGAGGAGCACATCCCTCTCCTTTTTGTCTGCCGAGGCTCAGACTTACAATTAAAGTGTACTGGCTTCATTTACACTTGGAAATAAGTGAGCTGTCACACCTTCCAAAGCTCTAATTCTGGCCTGTCCCTGCTGATCCCGTCCACCAGCCTTTGATTAAATTCAAGCCGCTTCCTGCTCTCCAACTTCTCTCTCTCCCTCAATTTTCTCCCCCTCTCATCCCAATCACCATTTCACTCTCTTTCCTGTCTCTCAAGTCTTTCCCTCTCTAGCTTCCCCCTGTTTCTATCTCTTCACTAAGTCTTTACTCTTCCCCATCACCACTATCCCCACCGCCGCCGCCTCCGTTTCGTCCTCCTTCACTCCGGCTGTGGTTGAGACCAGTGAGGACAAAGAAGAGAGTGTGCCCCTGTCAAAGAAATGCAGTCTGACACAGTGAAAGTACTTAGCAGCAGCCTACTGACATGGCGTTTCACATCATCCAGGCTCAGCACAGCTCCCCGGTCATTGTTGTTGCGGCCTTTGTGTTTCTTCTTCACGCATCGGCACAGCTTGTACTTGATCACCTGAAAATAGGCGAGGACACCCATTACTGACCTTTCGGGATCAAAACACAATATTCAAAAAACTCTTCTTCTTTTTATTTTTTCCTGTCTTGTGATAGTTCAAGCCCAAACATGCTTTGGAGTTTGAAGGATAAGGCAAAATGAAATTCAATAAAGAGACTGACGTTATGCATCTATTAATATGTTTCCCCCTTGAACCTGCGCATGAGCAGGTGCGGCTTTTTTCACTCTGTCCGCCTCCGAGACGAACAGACACGGGAAAAATCACTCTACCCTGCTGGTAGAAGAAAAGGCATGGAGGGAGCATGGAACACAGAGTTAGCCTAATGAGAAGGGACAGCGACATCCTGACTAATCTAAAATATAATACATCCAAAATGTTAATGTATTCAGAGTTGCTGCTGCTGAGATGTGTGTGTGTGTGTTGCACAGAGATGGGCTGCGTGATTGTGAGGGACACAGCGTTCGTCACGCTCGCTAAAACACGTCCTTGTGCGGATGGTAAAAATTGTGTGAAAAACCCCATTTTGTCAGCAAGTAATTCAAATAATACTGGAGCAGTACACATTTCCATAAACAATATATTGCACTGGGTGTGAGTGAGAGGCTCCCAATAAGGACGGGAGATATTTGAAAAAGAGATATTTCACCTCATATAAATAGTCAAAGAGTTCGAGAATGGTGAGGATGCTGGCTCCGATGAAGAGACCCATCTGGCCTCCGATATCACCTGGATGGGCAGAAAAGGAAAGCACAAATTATACCTTAATGCAAAACAGAGAGGGATGTCATCTCTGTGCACTCACATGAAACAGCTCTGAAACATATTTTTTGATTTGTATTAAGGTCTGAAAGGTGGGAAATGTGACAGAAAACATAGATGTTGGGGGAGAAGAAGTAGTTGAAAAGCCACGAAAGATTAAAGAGACAGTTCTGTGTCTTCTGGGACCTGAATACCTATTATAAAAATGCAAGCGCTTGCGTTACTGTCACTTTGGATAAAAAGCATCTGTCATGTTGCATATTGCATATTATCTATTCCCATGAAAACACTTGACAGCCCTTTCCTTACCCAGAAGGCCTGCCAATTCGTAGGCTTTCTTTTGTTCAATGGTTTCGTAGTTCAGCGCCTCAAAGTAGATATCCAGAACCAGAATGTTATCACTGTAAACAGAGAGAGAAGCACACTGTCTTAAAGTTACATATTCAAATGTCTCAGTTATATATGTATATATATATATATATATATATATATATATCTCCTTCTTTATCAGTGTCCCCGGGCGGCTAAGTTGACTGGTGAGCCTGCCACTTCCTGCAGATAACGGAGCCGATGCATCGAGTTGAGCACGTAACCTGCCGTCACTAGTTAATTTCCCCTGGTGGGTCTGGTCATTGAGGAGAACAAGGGAAATTATGACAGCTGTTTGATTTCATGCTGTGTTAATGTCTAAAACTCAGGACTTCAGCAGAATGAAAAAGAATGGGGATTACTTTAAAGGCCCCGGGCAAAGCTGACTAATATTTTGATTCCTGAATATCCTCTCTGTGGCCCAAATCAGACTTCACACCCCACTGGGGTTAAGATCAAAAACCTAACTCGACTTTGTAGTTTCTCTTTTCGTACTTGGTGCACTGTTTTATTACTTAAATTTAAGTCAAGACAAGTGATGATCTGTCAGTCTTGAAAGAAACTCTGGTAAACCCGGGGGCTAGGTTGAATGCAAATCGTGGCTGATAATGTAGAGATGGAGATGTACTAACACAAAATGAGCACACATCTGCTCGTTTGTGGGAGATAGGCTACACTTCCAGCTCCCGCTGTTTGACTGCACTGCACTATTAAAAGCACATAAAACCTCCTTAGTAAACAACATGAAAAACAATCATCCTACACTTAATTCCTCGCCTGGTGAGGTGATCGCGGTCAGTGGTTCACAGCCTTTTTATGTCAGACGAACACCCACAGCCCTTTCACACAAGCTTTTCACAGCAGAAATTTTAACTTATCACAGCAGGAAAGCACAGGTGGAAAAAACAATTTTAATGAGAGCTCTGTTCTATTAAATGTCCCAGAAAGCCTCTCTAGTGAGCCAGCACGCACACCACCAGGACCCTGGACCTGGTTCACCGAAGCAGCTTTCATCAACACAAATTACATTTGAGCATTTCCTGCTTTGAGTCAGAGCCCAAATGTATTTGTTTGTTTGAATTAATTTAAAACTGAACATTATTTACCATTAACACTTATGTAAAAGTGGATAATGCACAATAATTAGATTAATTTATTATTATTAATTAGATGGTTTAATCAATTCAATTCAATTTTTTCAGTTTTAATCGAGTTTGCATTTGTAAACTATAACTATTTTGAGCAGCAGAAGTTGGATTTTTCAACTGAATCCAACACTTTTAGCTAACATTAACTATTTCAACCGTCTAACCATACTTTTAAAATTAGCTGTAGCTAAAAGTTTCAACTGGTTATCCATTACTTTAAACGTTAGCTAATAATATCAACTGTTTATCCATTACTTTAAATGTTAGCTGACAATATCAACAGTTTATCCATTATGTTAAAGGTTAGCTAGCAATATCAACAGTTTATCCATTATGTTAAACGTTAGCTAACAATATCAACAGTTTATCCATTATGTTAAACGTTAGCTAGCAATATCAACAGTTTATCCATTACCTTAAATGTTAGCTAACAATTTCAATGGTTTATTGATTACTTTAAATGTTAGCTGACAATATCAACAGTTTGATTACTTTAAATGCTGGCTAACAATATCAACAGTTTCTCCATTACTTTAAATGTTAGCTAACAATATCAACAATTTATCCAATACTTTAAATGATGGCTAACAATATCAACAGTTTCTCCATTACTTTAAATGTTAGCTAACAATATCAACAATTTATCCATTACTTTAAATGTTGGCTAACAATATCAACAGTTTATCTATTACTTTAAATGTTAGCTAACATTATCAACAATTTATCCATTACTTTAAATGTTGGCTAACAAATTCAACTATTTATCTATTTCTTTTAATGTTAGCCAACTGTCTCAATGGTTTATCCATTACTTTGAATGTTCGGTGACTATTTTAACTGTTTATCTATAAGGCTACTTTCGGTTATTTCAGCTGTTTATTCTTTACTTTTAGCTGGCTGCATTACACATTATATAAATATCATATTTGGGTTACTTTTTGCTAATTATTATTTTAACCAAAACTCCATTACTTTTACCTAACTATACATGTATTTTTATAAAGCATTCAATACGTTTACCAGGGTTGCCATCTTTTTTTTTATGCACTCTAGCCCAATTTATCCAAAGTACACATTATCATCATTGAAAAATTGAAATGTGTACCTCAAAAACATTTTTTTTTAAATTTCCAGAATAACAATGAATTGTGATGATAAAAATATTAGTAGTTGTTAGTAATTAGTATTAGTATTAAGTAAAAACACAATATTTTACAACCGCTATTATTAAACAATTATTGACTAGAGTTTGAAAATCTGTTTAATGTATACATGTTAAGGTGACCAGATTTTGGAAATGAAAACCGGAGTCATTTCCTGTTCAGTGGTCAAAATATCATTAAAGAGTATCATTAAAATCCAATGATATTATCTATGAAATAAAAAAGGAAGACAATAAGGGTTTCATTGACTATAGTATGTTGCTCTGTAATAAACTATGGTACAGGCTGACTGATAAAATTGGAATATATATACATATACATAGATGTCTCAGACTAGATGAGTGAGATTGAGGGTGCAGAGAACAGCATAATAATTGGGTGGACGCTGTATGAGAAAATGATCATAATAATCAGGGGCAGACTTTACCATCAGGGCCATAACTGAAAGGGCCCAAACAGTTATGGATCTATTATGATGTTTAGATATGAAAAATACTGATTATGTTATTACACTTGCTCATTGTACCTTAAAAATTACACGTAAGAGTGGCTAGGTGAAAGGGAGACACGAAGCAATGCCTCCTTATATTTATTATTAATTCCATCTAAAGTCTGACGAAAATTGAAACTAAAACAAAATAGTCTATAGAAGTCTACATAAGACACTTTCCACTGCTGAACATTTGACTGTTTGTTAATTCAGACACTCTGGTGCTGTGAGGGAAAAGCTCCGCTCTTTGTCTGCCTCTGTCACGGCGCTGTCAGGCTGCGTTGATAGATCAGTCAGCTGTGTGATCAGCCATCACATCAGCGATTATTTATTTTTCTCTGGTTGAAAAAATGGACGTGTTGCATGCTACATGTGAAAAGAGTCAATTACATGAGTCTCTCACAGTCGATGTGTGAGAGCTGGAAGCCCTGACATTACAAGATTGTTCAACTCTGCTGTTGCAGTGTTTTGGCGCAAGATTTGCCTTGGTGTCGTGACAGCGTGAGACAGAGCCTGAAAGTGTGAGACTCATGCCAGATGCGTGAGAGCTGGCAATCTTGCTTTTACTGTAGCTAACTGTTGAGACTCGTTGAGCTGAGCTTCTCTATAGTCTTTTCACGTATCCCCTGACAGCTGCAGAAGTAGTTACCCCCTGGGATGCAAGTGCCCCTGGTTGAGAATCACTAATCCAGATGTTTTTTTTATCTTGTTATTGTGACATTCCTGGAGCTTTTCTCCTGATTTGTAGGCTGACCTGTGTGAGGTGTCGGCCTGCAGCTTGAATGATGCTACCTTGCTGTGCTCTCACTGCCTAGTAAGTAACCTGCAATACATCTGATCAGAGCTGTGGTCTAATGGCTCATGAAGCTGTGTGTCTCACTCTCTGTTTCTCTGTGTCTGTCGCTGTGTTAGTGGTTCCCAATAGAACGACAGTCCACTGTCACAGACTTCAGTTTCACACCACTAAACACTGCAGCCCAGACACCAGAACACTCCCAGCTAATACTCATCAGATTGACACTGCTTGGAAATATGGCCAGTCAAAAAATGAACTGAATGGACTCACATCTATCCACAGGGAATTAAGTGAAACTTTCAGCAGGGAGAAGCGAAAGGTTTTTGCAGCACTCTGACTACATATGGTGTAATTATCTTGTCCTCAACAGCCCCGCCGGGAATGATAGATAAAAGATTCAACTATTATTGCACCCTCTCCTCATTTCCTTGAACTACTTTTGATCTTTTCATTAGATTTGGCAAAGAAACAGTACATACTTGGCTGATTAATCAATTCAAGCACTGAGTGGAGGCTCCTTATTCTATTTCTTCACCTCGATGAAAAAAATACACGTTTGAGGAGGTGAACTGGTTACAACAGTTATTGTGCAGCCAGCAAGCTGATGAAAGGGAAATCAACCTGAAAACACTTAAATTCTGTATCAAGAGTTTTCCGGTGCAGCTTTAATTGTGTTTATAGTCAGATGTGGTTTAATCCACTTTTGTACTAATCTGGTTTGGTTTATTATTTCTGTAATTTCAACCAAAGGCTAGAAGAAATAAAACTTTGTTTCCTCTTGGAGTTGTTACATTATATAGAAAATCATAAACAAAGGCAAAAGACAATGATGAATTAAAGTAAGCCTATGGGATAAGGTTGAAAACAAGATCATGATGTTATGTAAAATATTTTTTTTCCCAATATTGATTTCCTATAAATCACAATATGACACGTACACAAAATCAAATATAAAATGATCAAATCAATGTTAAACATCACCAATTTGCTGGGAATCATCAGTTTGGAAATATAAGATGCAAAACCATGACATGATAGTATCATATTATCTTCATATGATTCTACCCTAAGTTAATTAACAACAATCGAATTTCTGAATTATTCCCCAGCATTAGAAAAGGTAATATATAACACTAAAAGTCTCACACTCAGAAATGTGTTTTGCTTGTTGTCACTTCAGCTTCACTGTGCAGAATGATGGGAGCACAGAGTTTGACACTAAAAGACTGTTTTCAGGCTCATGTGCTGAAGTTCAGTGTTTACTTTGAATCTAGAGGTTGAGACATGTACGTACGAGCATGATTTGGTTACAACATAATTAGTTTGGAAGCCAGTATTGGTTTAATATGCAGCCTAAATGAGGGTGATGTGAAAACCTGAAGCCTCCAACAGACACATACCCTAAGAATGGACTTAATAGTGCAATTATAATAATAACAATAATAATGATTAACTGTATTTATATGGCACCTTTCAAAACGCAGTTGCAAAGTGCTTTACAAAGCCAAATAAGAGACAAAGCAATAACCAAGATAAAAGCAATGAAAATAGAATACAAATAACGGGACACATAAATAGTTATAAATAAATATAGTCTGTGTATCGGTAAAAGGTAATTGCGGCTAAGTGCAATGAAAACAAGCTGCAACGGATTCAGAATAAATGATGACATAATGTTACTGTCATTGTACAGGCCACTGCAAACTGTCTTTGTCGTGGCTGGATGGCTTTTAACATGCTTATACACACTGTCTCTCCTTTATTACACATCCATTGTTTTCATACGTTTGGCTAGTGTACTTTCAGAAAAAAACCCCAATATGGAAATCCAAACGAACAAGGGAGAAGTAGTAAATACATTTTATTAAAATATACAACATAGTGAACTTAAACTTTTTAAATACTTTTTTTTAATGGAAAAATCATATCACGCACAAATTATTAATCAAAGTAAAGTATTTTTACATGTCTTAAAACATGTATATGTGTGAGGGCTGCTCTTTAATGACAACTAGAGAAGTGCACATAAGTAACAGTTTGATTAGCAACTGTGCCTCAGAGGTAGAATGGGTTGTCCACTAATCCGGGGTTTGATGGTTCGATGCCCGGAATTATCATCGGTGTGTGAGTGCGTGTGAATGGTTACTGAGTGACAGTTGGCACCTTGTATTGTAGCCTTGGCTGCCAGTGTGTGACTGAGTGTGAATGGGTGAATGTGACATGTAGTGTAAAAGCGCTTTGAGTGGTCGGAAGACTTACAAAGAGCTACACAAGTGTGGTCCATTTACCATTTATTATATGTAATTTTCAACTGCTTCTTGTGTAGCGTTACAAGATGGTTGCACTGAACAAAAAGTGATAATGTGTACAACTAAACTAAAAAGTGATGCTAAAAATATCTCATCATTGTATAAATAAGACATAAAAATGTGACTTACGATATGTACTGCTCTGTCTTGTTAAATTTCTTGGCGAGGTACTTGGCTGACGCTTTGCTGGGTATCTTGACAAAGGACATCTCTTTCCCATAGCGCGTCATGTTGCACGGCGTCTCGCACACGCAGTAGTCATTGTCTCTCTCCACGAGAAAGTCTGAAAAACAGACAGAGCAAGAGACAAGGACAGAGAGATTGAAAGATAGAAGATGCTGGGACAGACAGATTTATCGTCACCTCCGGATGACAAACAAAAATGCCAGCAGAGTGAAAGGCGTCAAAGAAAACCTTGTGAAAAGATGCTGCGAGGAGACAGCCTAGAGACCCTTATAAAAAAATATAAAAGATATAAGGCACACAGTGACAGAGTCAGAGAGACAGTCGGTGTCATGAAAGAGCCAGAGATTGCAAGTCAATAAGAAAACAAGCAACAGACATGAAAGGCCTGAAAGGTATCAGTTGATGGAGAGACAGGAGAGTGTGAAAAGGAGAGCCTCAGCGCCAGGCCTGAGGTTTACTATTTGAGAATGGCTACCATCAGTGCTGAAGGAACACTATTATCTGTTATCAGCATGGATCAGGGGGCTCTGAACAGTGGGACATACACACTGGGCAGTGTGCACGCACGCACACACACACACACACACACACACACACACACAGCATGGTGGGTTATCTACTTACCCAAGGCAGGATCTGCACACTCCTTGTACTGCTCCGGGGTGCAGTATGGGGCATCTCCTAAGGACAGGCAGGATAAACACAATGTTCTCAATGTGAACAAAAAGAGGGAGAAAGAGAAGAAGAAGGGGTTTTCGAAGAAGCACAAAGGATGACGAGATCTGGGCTCATAATTAATTTTGTCTCAGACTGTCATTACCGGCCTTATCAGGACTGGATATTCGTCACAAATGTGATCTCATCTTGTAATTGATTTCATTAACGTTTTGTACTGTCGCCGCGCTCCGTCTTCACTTTCAGTCTGTGTCACCCTCGTCCGTGTCACCCTCTCCATCTTTCTCTCCGGTGGCAGTTGAGCCATCCCTCTTCCCAAACAAAGGAAAAAGACATGTCCTAGATGTAGAGGAAATTATTTCCCAGCTGCAATTATTCACTGCATTTTTCTCCCTACTCTTTAAAAATCACTCCAATGACAGGGAGATAGGAGAGATGAATAGGAGCAGAGGATTTTAGCTGGGGGAGTTCTCTGTAGACTCACATTAATCAACTGCACAATCACTATAAGATAGCAGCTAATCCTGATTATTACACAGACAGATCGTCTGGCTCTCTATGGGCAAACACAGAGCTGAAAGTGACCCTGATTGAAGAGAGAGGGAGAGAGACATTAACAATTATTGGACAGGTGAGCGTGGGTTAACGGGAGCCAAATTTGAATGTTTCCTTTGTGCCAAACTCCTTTTCAATTTGCCATCAGAGATGCCACGCGGTGATTAAATGTAGGAGGTAGACAGCGAATGCCAGCTGTAATCACTGCACAAACACAAAGTGAAAATAGTTGAGTTTTCCGATTCACTGGAGTGTGAAAGTATCTGATGCATCTGCGGTTGCTGGCAAAAAGCACTTTGTTCTTTAAGAATTGCTTTTTGTCACCAAAATTTCAAATAAGAGCCCTTCCAAACAACAGCAGATAATAAAACATCTTCATCTTCATGAATAAATGTAGACACGCTGCATTTGTATCCAGCAATGAGATGCCCTTTCAGCTCCTACCGGGCATGTGGACCATCCTGCAGTTGCAGTTCTCCACCAGATATCGCGTCTCACAGTCGATCCGGCAGGCCGTGATGCTGTAAGTGCTGAAGAAGTCTGAGTCCATTGCTGTGGCCTTGCAGTCTCCCCACGGTGGAGGCAGGTATGTCAGCTGCAAAAGAGAGAGAAGCAACAGTGCAGAACCACTTTAGTTATAAAGCATATTGTCTGTTGCACATCATGTCCTGTGCCCTGTTAATGCAGTCATTTGACCTTGTACTTTCAGTCAATACATCTATATAAGAAGCCATTACACATTTATTGTATTTGGCACAGAGAATGAATCTTGTTCTCCATGATGAATACATGTGTATAGTGGTGCTTACTGTGGGAGTTTCTCTCCTACGCTTCTCCTATTCCCAGTCTCCCTCTGTGCTTTTATTGTACTGCCCACTCTCCATGCAGGAGCTGAATAGGATCAGCTGTGAGCTGTGATGTTGAAGTTTACTCTCTGAACAGCTTTGCTGCAGGACAACGTGTGGTGCCGTTTTTCCCCTCTGTTTTGACCATCAATGTAGATTTTCTACCGCCCTTGTGCAAACTGTGCAATAAAATATCCTCTTTATGTGGACATGTAGACCGAGCCGTCAGTCAAACACAAAGAGACTAAGAAAAATCTTCCCTCAGGCCCTCTGGATGCTGAACTCCATCCTGACCTCTGTTTATGCTCAGCCTTGTTTACCACATTGTCTGCTGTGAATCCTTTGCAGTGCCACACACAGAGTGTATTAAATCTTATGGTATGGTTTGCTTTATAGCTGTGACTGTGTAGTTTTATATACTGAAACATCACAAAACCCATTTTCACATCGTACCAATTAACACTTTTACCAAAAGGCATCTTTTTCATCTCAGAATTTGCATCCTTTATATTTATTTTCTAACTATTAATTTTCCTTATTTGATGATTACTCTTTATTGCACCTCACTGCACATATTGTATCTACACGTGAGCAGGCCTGCAACTAACAATTATTTTGTAACTGATATATATTTATATTTTTCCTCTATTAACTGTTTTGTAAATAAAAACTCGACAATCACAATTTCCTATGTAACACTTTGGCATATGCGAATTGACTGAATCATAAAACCAAGAGTCAAAATCCCCGTAGGTCCTCAGTTATCTGTATAACTGTATAAAAGCGGACAAAGGAGGCTTTCACATCAGGGACCTTAGACTCAGATTCAGTTTATTGTCATTCCAACATGTTAAAAACATGAGGGAACGTAATTCGTTCGGTCCAGCAGCGAACAGAATAAATAACATTTTAAGATAGACCTACAATGAATAATTAAATCACCTAAGAAGCCTATAATATATATAACAGTTAAAATCCCCAGCCACCATGTTAAAGTGCGTAATAGTGCATCACAAGCCGCATGCAGTCGCAGCAGTACCAAGGACAGACTTTAAGCTAGAGAGTTTATAAACCTCACAGCCTCTGGGAAGAAGCTGCACTTGAGTGTCGTAGTTCTGGCTTTGAGGCTGCACAGCCTCCTGCGTGAGGAGAGGGGGTGAAAAGTTTGTGTGCCGAGTGTGTGGGGTCCTTTATGATACATGACGCTCTCCTTCTGCACTTGCTGGCCATCGCTGACCTTAGCAAAGATCTGAGTATGTTTGATCCCAAGGTCCAGCTCGTTTGATTAGTGTGAACACTGTGTACTGGGTCCACTTGAAACGGTGGTCTCTAGTGTTGTCTATGTGTACTCAGGTATGGTTTGCATCAGGTGTGAAAACCAACTGTGCCAGCAGGAGTCAGTGAGTAGAGTTGCAAAGGCCCACCCAGAGCTCATCCTTTGAATTGCCCAGCCATAGGTGATAAAAGTAGAAAGGCAGGCGAGAGAGTCTTTCTTAACATTGTCTTCAAAATATAAACAATAGTAGGCACAATGTAAAGGTTAACTCCATAGTGTGGGCTTGGGATCTTACGAACGGCACATTTTTCTACACTGTAGCAATGAAATGTCACATAGATGATGATGCAAGTTTACTCAGGCAAGGAACAAAGTCACTGATGCGAAAGCTTTGTGGCCGGGGAGTGGAGGGCAAGCAATTGTAGTCGGCACAGTACAAATCAATTGTACCTAATATTATGGATGCACGGTAGTGGATTTTTTGCCGGTATCCGATATGCTGATATGTAGCAACTTATTTGACAGATAACAGATACCAATATCGATATACCTGCTTTCATGCCCACCTAATTTTAGTGATCAGTAATCTTCTGTAGTGGAATTAACATCATATAATGCATGCATACTCTTTTCGTGATGGCCCACCAGCAGATGGAGACATGAAATACAATACTTTTCAATACTTTTCAATACAATACTTTAAATGTGTGTAATATTCATTCGTTGGGCAAAATAAGAAAAAGCATGTTGACGATTCTCAAATTTAATTTTAAAGCCAAACTGGCTGATACCGATGATGTGCCGATATTATCCTGCATAATGGGCGGCAGTAGCTCAGTCCATAGGGACTTGGGTTGGGAACCTGAGGGTCGCCTGCTCGAGTCCCCGTCTGGACCAAATATGGAGCGTGGACTGGTGGCTGGAGAGGTACCAGTTCACCTCCTGGGCACTGCCGAGGTGCTTTTGAGCAAGGCACCGAACCCCCCAACCGCTCGGGGCGCCTGACCAAGGCAGCCCCCTCACTCTGACATCTCTCCACTTGTGCATGTATAGGTCCTGTTTGTGCATGTGTGTGTCTTTCGGACCTGTGTTTCCCCTGAGGGGAAACTGAATTTCCCCTCAGGGGGATTAATAAAGTAAATAAACTTAAATTAAAATTACATTACACTGAGCAAGCAAGATGCAGTCTCGGACCCAGCGATAATCACATGATGACAATAAACCTCAGGGGGGCAATGGTCAATATTTCAGGAGATCCAGCATAGCTAGCAGATATCCGAGCAAAGACTTCCTCTTTCGTGCGCTGTTCATTTCGGCTGATTTGTACCATTATTACAAGTATGTTGGCCGATTCCGATATTTCATTTTAAAGCCAATATCGGCCAATATCTATGATGTGCTGACATGCATCCCTACCTAATATGACAACCCCCTTAACCTGAAAACACACCGGCGCTGCCACGCTGGGGCGCACCATATGATGCATGTTGAGTGCTGCCCCTAGCACCAACAGGAAATGTTACTCTGTTGCTTGTGAACAGGAAACCACACAGTTATTACTCCTTAAAAGATCTATACCTCTTCCACCTATGCATTCGCTTGAAATCATGTGTGGACACCCACTGATCAATAATGATTTCTCACCTACACAGCCACAATCTCCAGAGCTACGTCTCACCAAGCGATATCTTCTTGCCACTGTCTTTATAATATAATGACAGGATTGTGGGTTTGTATAGCTCGTGATATTTCTTGACCTCAACAGCTAGTCTCTCCTCATTATTCTTCAACACACACAAGAGACAGCAACAGCAACAGAGTTCTCTTTATACATCCATGGTGAGGAGAGGACACGAGCTGTCATGGGAGCAGAGAGGAAGAGCTACATAGAGAATAAAAGGGGCGGCTGTTTTGACACGCGCTGTTTGCTGCTGGCATGTTTTGGCCTTCAGAAAGTTCTTCATAAATATTCATATAAAGTAAGATGATACTAGTCATTTCTTTGGCATTGATGTTCAAAGAATTAGTTAAAACTATTAAAATGACTGACTAATCGATTAGTTGTTTCATTTCTACATGTGACACAACAAAACTTTTGACTCGTGAAGTGTTTGTATACTTTTTTTGTACAACTTTCTACTAATTTTAACAAATGGTAACAAGAAATGAAGCATATAAACAGACCATCAAAAACTAACAGCAGTCTAGTTCACGAAACCAGCACATTCCTAACACTTAAAAAGAAAAATAAATATATATGAGTAAAGATGAGACGATGACCAGCATATTTCTTGACCACTGGAGAGATCACCACTCTGAGCACCACTATTCCCTCCGTCATCAGAATATCTGAGCATTAAAGATTCAAAATGAGTGGAAAAAATTCAAACCACTGGATGAAAATAACTGAGAAAAGAATGAGTGTAGACGTTGGGATATATAAAGTAGGACAAATGTAAAAATATATACCTCCTCCTACTCCAAAACAAGCCTCAGTGAGTCTTGTTTATACTTGCAGCACACTATTCATGGAGGAAACGTAAACTGAAATCACTCCAACAGAGATGCACATATCATATGAAAATATTGGCAACATTCATTTACATTTGAACGGCCCTAGAAAAAAAAGGTCAAAATTTGGTGCATTAAATGCAGAAGGAAGCTATAAAACAGCCCCTGTGTGTTTCCGTCTCATCAGTTCAAATAGTGCATCACTGAGTGCTCACACAGCAATAAATTAAAGGCCACTGTTATGATTTAGGGACCTGCTTTTTACAATCTGTACTGGAGTGTGAGAGGCAGCCGTGTGTTTCGAACACTGGATTTGGTTACTAATAACCCAAGGCAATGTTCAACAACATGCACATACAGTGTTCACACATACATATGCACATACAATACGGCACACTCACGTAAACCAGATAGCCCTGACTAGAATTCAATCAGGAGATTATGCTGATTCCTCCGCTTATTTTCACATCAAGGACGTCTCACAAAGTCAAACAGAACATAAAAACCATCAGAGCTGGGTAAAATGTGGTAATCAATAATGAGTGCTTGTGTCTTTATTCACCTCATCACGTGGGTTAGACCTATTGGAAAAGCTCTGTGACTGGGTAATGGCTCTCTTATTCTCTGAGTTCTGCTATTTCACTTTTTTTCCCTGCATTTTCAAAAGCTCCGCTCAGCCATCCCAAACCACCTTGTGGCAACATTACTTCCCATTGGTTTAACTTCTGCAAAAGCTTAATTCTGCAAGTGTGGACAAAAGGGAATCTGGCGTAAGAGATTTCGGGACATGTTAGCGCGCTGTTTAACGACCATGAAGAAGAAAACAAATCATGTTAAAGATTATGACCTCAATTCCCCCTTCGTTAGCTGAGTAAGACAGAGAGCAAACGAAAGGGTGAGAGGTGGGGGAAAAAAAGGAGAGGCGAGAGTCAGCAAGACCCTGCGGACAGCAGAAGGGGAGGA